TATTAACTAAGTTAAATTATTTCAAATATATACATATATTAAACACCGCGTGTGGATTTGGAGTTTGAGTCAGTTTGTGTGAGTGGACGAATAGGAATATTTATAAGTGATATATAAAGTACAACGAGTTGACCGTAATTTGAGAAATTTAAAAATTCAAGGGGGAGGAGCGATTTACCCTCATAATTCTAACTCTATTAAACGCATTCAGCATATATGTAACAAAATAAGAATAGTACACTAGTACTATTATTATATTGTCACAAAACACGCCTTTGCAACGTGCATGGTAACTGATTAAGTACAGACGATAGTGAATATGAGATAAATGAGTAATTAGTTAGAAATAATCAGTGTTGGGAAAGTTCCTTTTAAAAAGGAACTAGTTCCCGTTTCTTTACACATTTTTTACGATTTGAGTGGTAATCAATGGTGTTTTTCACGAACAATTTTTAAGTCAGAAATAATTGGTTAATATTATTTGTACTTTGTTATCATTTAAATTTTTAAACGATTATGGCATGATTATCACAGTAACATCGTTATCGTATATATCACAATTATACTTATATTATCATATTATTCATATTATATCTTGTATGCTATAAATCTCGAACTAAATTAAAATTTAAAATATATCAACGATACCTAGGTTGTTCGTTTTACTATTTACTAATGATAGATGAAGTGATACCAAATTGCCAACACTAAATATATGCTAGAAAATATTATCATTAAAAATAACTAATTTTTTTTTTCATTATTAAAGGAACGGAAATTTTCTTTCGAGTTCCTTAAAAATAGGAACTCTTTCCCGTTCCTCGTTCCTATATTTTAAATAGAACGCATTCCAAGCTTCGTTCCAATCATTGATTATAGATAGTACTATCTATAATCAATGGTTCCAATAAAAGAAACGCGTTTCTTCCCAACACTGGTAATAATTAATTATACACGCAATCTAAGAGTTATTTTATCATACCAACGGCCAATGATATAAAATGGCAGATCCAACCCACAACGGCAGTCCCTTGTGAAACACTCATACGCATACGTTGAATATTTTTAACGACGACGGTCATTATATCAGCCAACCAAAAATGTCTGAAATTATCTTCTATGTTGTCAAGTTTCAACGCAGAAGACACTAACCTATTTTAAGTAATTTTTTTATTAATAAATATATATACAATTAAAAATAATATAAGCTTAGTAATATAATTTATACTTTATTTATCTAATAATAAACTTAAGGTGAAAATATAGATCATTATATATATGTATATGCAGGGCCGGAACTACGGGGTGGAAGACGGGGATTCATCCCCGGGCGTAACATTTTAGAGGGTGTAATTTTCGTAATTATTAACATCTAATTTGATATTTTTAACTTCGTTAAATACTGATATTAGGTTAAAACTCAATAAGTACGATTGTATATTGATTATAAGAATACAATTTATTTGAGTATTTGTTTATTAGTCTATGGATAGGGCGTAATTTTAACATTTTACCCGGGCGTAAAAATTCCTAGTTCCATCTCTGTGTATATGTATATGTATATGATTATATGCAGTCAATGTATAGACGGAAATTATAATTCTATATTTTATACCATTTTAAACGATATTTGTCACCAAGTTAGATTGTTGCAAATATTGTTAAAGAGACACGTTTTAAATAGTATTAGAAGTACAGTAAATACAGCTTCGGTTAATCGCCAATTATTCTAAGTATGAATCAGGGCCGTATTTAAGAGGGAGGCAATAGGGAAATGAATGGAGACTCGGACGGTCAAATGTTGATCGATTAAGCGGTCAACCAACCACCATTGTAGCCCGGTGTAATATTGTATTAATTAATATTATAAATATTAAATTATCAGCATAAATCACAAATTTAGGCTAGATAAGGAATTAGGTATAATTAAAACTTTATAAAAAAAAGGATAAAAAAATGTATCAATTTTTTCAAAGGAACGGGCGTACAAATATGTTTGCTTCAGGGTGCAAAATTTGTAAATACAGCCCTGGTACGAGCCACATATTTATTTATTCTCAATTAAATTTAAGTGTACACTAGGCGTCGGACGAAAACTCTTTAGGACAGTGCATACTGGCGTTAACGACGTTGATAGCGTACGATCGTAAAGCGATTTATAATTACAATAAAAATTTATCGTAAACGATTACTGCCGGTCAATTTTTAATGAATAATAACAATTTTTATGGGGTTGGAAAACGGACAGCGCTTAGTCGTGCGGCTACATCTGAATCGTATGCCAAAAAAAAAAAAAAAAAATATCGAATTGCATACCATCTTTTAGAGAGGTCTGTCCGAATGCATACCACGTCATAGAGGGGCCTGTTCGAATTATATGCCACGTCTTAGAGTTTTATCGTCAAAAACACGACATTTATTGTACATTCAATTGATTACTCTAAACTACAATCGTTTTATTTAACGTATAATATTCACAGTGTCACCTTCTCCAATTTGGTAAAATGTTTACTCGGATATAAAATATATTTCAATCTAGAAACTAATCAGTTTCTCTTCATCCATTTTCTTAAAAAATTAGAAAATTCAAAAATAAAGTTTAAGTTGTACACATAAGTGCATGGTAAATAAACTTGGGGATACACAGCATGCAATTTGGACATTCCAATTTATGTTAATTTTTTTGACATACGATTCGGAGGCACCGAGTCGTGCATGTGCAAACTGGTGTACTCTTAGGCTAAATAGAGTATAGTATTAACTAAATTTTGGAACTATAGGATAATAAAAAAAAAAAAAAAAAAAATAGAAAAGAACACAATTTTCTATTTTATTAAATTAAAATATACTGAATGAGTAATCCTTCAACTCCAAGTTAAAAACATAATAGTTTCATTAATTAAGTACTTTTCGACTATCATTATATTTTTAAAATTTTTATTTGGTGGAAGTCTAGCTTTCCCTAACTAAAAGACATAATTCATTGTCTTTGATTGGAATCATCTAAATTATAAATTAAAACACGATAACTGAAAGGACTTCAAATATTAAATCTTCCCAAAACATATGGTTTCAACTTTAAGTTAGAATATGCAGTATTAATTAGACATAGGTAAAAATTGAATAATGTGTTTAGGTACTCACATTACACAACTGTGAGGGTTCACATCTAACAACTGAAGTGTTAGCAGATTTTTAATTTGTAAGCAAGTGAAACACGTTAGTTTGTTTGGTTTAAAATTAATTTCATTATCATCCAATAGATTATTATCAGTAACCACATTTGTTGCAGATTCTGCCATTCCTTACAAAGTTATGATACATCAATCGTAGGAATAAATAATAATAAATTGCAGACTGACTACAGTAGTTCAGATTATAAAAAATAAAAACTTAATTGCTATCATAAGATCATCATTGCAAATAATAATAATAATAATAATACATATTTGTTTATTTAGTCACCTTGGTTTTGTACAATATTAAAGAAGCCCTTATAATGTAACCAATCATGTTTTAAGAGATAAATCATTTTATCCATTACCAATTAATAAAAAATATTTGTTATGCACCCCGGCAAATATTCTTATGACCGCGGGAAATTCAATTCACAATATTGATATATTTAACACTACTCAATTTATCAAATATTTTATCCAGTTAATAGTATTTAATATCTTACTTTATTTCATTATGTTTTTAATTTATTAATTATAGTTCATTTTATTTTATCTAATATATTATAATCCATAAATCATTATATAACATTTACCTTTGCTACTTTTTACAATGATTCATGAAGTAGCAGCATATATAATAGAAGAAATAATACTACTATCACAGAACAAACTGCTAATAACTATGACTGCAATAACAAGTAACAAATATAGTATGTAATCGTGACCGGCGTGAGAGTGGGGTAAGGAGGGCTAGAGCCCCGGGACCTGTACGTCCAAGAAGGCCCGCCGTCTTAGCCTTTTAGACAATATTTTTATTGAACTAAAATATGTACAAGTAGTGTGTATGTCGTAGGCATATAATCAAATCATGCATTTTATTAAATGCCTAGGCTAGGAGCGTCCCCAGGAATTATTTATGGGGGGGGGGGGGAGTCAAAAGTTTTTATTTTATCTGATAATGAGAAATTAAAATACACTATATACTTTTATTATACTATTTATTATTAAATCGTTGAGTAGGTTGTAGAAATTTCAATGGAGGGGTGCGGACCCGAAAACCGTCCCCCCCTCCACTTGGGTACGCCCTTGGCCTAGGCATATAGTCAAAGAATTTAATGTTTATGCAATTTCACTATCTGTCTAGACATTTAGTTATATATCTATTTCATGTCAGTAAATAATAAAAATATATTTTGTATTATTTTAAAAATTTTAAAAATTTTCAGTTATTTAGTTATTTGACTATATGCCTACGACATACGCTGTCTTATTGTCCGTACCTATTGAACTTATGACAAAATATAATTGTTTTGGATACAACCACAACAATAGATGGTACACACTTAAATAATAAACTTCAATTATATTTTTAAAATCTATAACTTTTTTTGGGGGTAGTAAAAAGACACTCTTGCTACCCTACAACAATTTCTGGAGTAGCAAAGATACCCCACGATACCCCTTAGTGACGCCTATGAATAGAGTAGACTAATTAGGCTATTATTAATCTATCCTGTGATTAAACTATAAAATAATATTTAATATAATAAATACAAAATGTTCAGTATGATAATATAATATGTGAACATTTATAGTTTTTCCATACGAAAATGTTTTAGACAAATGGTAAGCGTGCGCCGCCAGGATTATTACTACTATTACTAACTTTATGAATCTATAGTATAATATAGACATCTGTGCTACAACCACAGAACGACAGTTCATATGGTAGTTCGTGGCTACGACCACTAGGATCACTGTATTCGTGATAAGGGTGCCAAAATTCTACTGCTAGGAGAGAATTCTCAGATTATCTTGTCACACCATTGTTCTGTGGCATAGAGTAATATTACTCTATGTTCTGTGGTTAAAATAAAATAACATCCTTATCTATGGTAATAGATGATAACTTTATAATAATTTGATACTGTTTGTTATTTGTTATTTTACCGTTTATTCAACTGTTCTAGAACATTTAAGTTCTGCAAGTTACTAAAAAACAAAATTCAGTCGACTCGTTTGATTTAATTTATCAATTTTTAAAATAACCGTTTTACTTTTCATTATAATTGTATAACTATAGTTCAACACTATGGGCACAGAAATTAAAACAATTCCAGTAAAAAATGATGCTGAGGACAACAATCAAGATCAAAAAGTAGTTGAAAAAGCAAATACGTTAGTAATTATTGACTTCTTCATATCTATTTTAAATAGATAATACATATTATAATGTAATTAGTTCATTATAAATGATTCATATAGGGTTGTCTGTCATGTCTTGGTTTAAATTGTTTAGGTGAATATGGCTTAGCATTGTATTTCTGAATGGCTATATTTTCTAAAATAAAACATCAATACTTTATGTTAATATTTTATTTCTTTAGTAAACACTTGATTGAAAACCACTAAAAATTAAAACAAGTATTGACATGTCTTGTCCAATTTTAGAGAAAAATACAGTAGTCACTGGATAATTTGAAATCAAAGGAACGGAGTTAAAAATTTGATTTACTGAGTGTTAAAATAATTGAGGGAAAAAAATTAATTCAAATTAAAGAAAGATGAAAAATTGTATGTATGTACATTTTATTTTATGTAATTTTCAGTCCAGAAACTCAAGTTATGTTTAAAAAGAAATCTAAAGGACGATCATTGAGAAAAAGGTTTGAGGATGATGAAATAGAAGATGACATAAATATGTTGTAAGTATTTATGATACAATATTAGAAACAATTTGAGTAATTATAGTTTATATCTAAAAATACCTAGCTCATAATGAAAAATTTATTTTACAGGAAAAAACTTGAAGAAATGAAAACTATGCAAAGACTTCGAGATAGACCTAATGGTGTTAATATTATAAGTCTTGCTTTGGGAGAAAAACTCTCCCAAGAAGAAGAAAAATTAATGGTAAACATTAACTAATTATATCTTATCTCATCATGGTCGTATGTCAAAATTATTTACTGAATTTTTATATGTACAATTTAGCTTTATTATTTATTTAATATTGTTATTGTGATCATAATTTGTTCTATAACTAGTATTCGACATCAAAGATCTAGCAATATTAAACTTATATTAATCAAATCTTTTAATTTTGAAAAAATTTATCGTATTTTAAATTATTCAATAATAAAAAAAATAATAATATTCAACTATTTTCAATTTTCTTTTTATAAATGTTTAAAAAGTAAAAACCTTTCATTATTAATATATATATAAGTATATGATATTGTCTATTTAATTAAATTAAAATAATTTGAATTGATACCCTTATTATTTATATATGTTTAAATAGATTATTAATAATGAATGTAATTAAATTATAGTAAATGAATTACAACTAATATAGGTTGATCCATTTAAAGTAAAAACTGGTGGATTAATCAATATGAATGCTTTAAAAAGTGGTCAAGTAACTCAAGTAGATGATGCTTATGACACTGGAATAGGAACTCAATTTTCAGCTGAAACTAATAAACGAGATGAAGATGAAGAAATGTAAAATCAAAACTATATGTTGTTATTGATAAAATTAAATAAAAATAATTTTGTAGGATGAAATATATTGATGAACAAGTTGCAATGCGAACTGGTCGAACAATAGATAAGGATGATGATACAATCAATACCAATAAATCAAATTATTGTCCACCAGAATTGGCAGCTTTGCAAGCTGTTCCATCACATTTACGAAATTCAACTACTCATAGATCAGAAGAAATGTTATCAAATCAGATGTTAAGTGGTATCCCTGAAGTAGATTTAGGAATTGAGTAAGTACATTTTTAAAATTTAAGTATACAGTTAGAATAAATCAGTAAGTCTATGTGATATAAAAGTTATTGATACTAAAATATAGTCTTATTTTATTTACTAGATAAAATGTATTACTTATAAATTATATTAAATTAAATTAAGATTTATCTCAATATTTACCACCCAGACATTTTTACTGAAAATATTAAGTTATAACATATAACCATTAATTAAAAATTATAATGAATATAATAGAATTTTTAATATGATATAACTCATTATTCATAACCTTATATTATGGATTTAATAGTTAGTTTTTTAAACTATTTATTTTATATTATGATTCATTCTTTATGTTATTAAAATTATTAGTAAAAAGTAATATAAAATATTTTGTGTTATGCTATAAAATTTCAGTGCAAAAATAAAAAATATTGAAGCTACTGAAGAAGCCAAAATGAAATTAATACGTGATAAGCGTAATAAGAAGGACGGTCCATCACAATTTGTTCCCACAAATATGGCTGTAAATTTTGTGCAACATAATAGATGTACATATAACGTTTTCTTTATATTTTTTTATGTTTAATGTTTCATTTTAATAATCCATTTAATTAAATTTTAGTTAATATAGAAGTTGTTGGACCAGATGGGAAAAGGAGTTATAAACAACAACCTGCAGTTAAACAAGAACATATAGATGACAAAAATATTGATAAAAGAAAAAAGAAAGATAATGCTACAGACGACTTCCATTATGAAAGATTTAAGAAACAATTTCGAAAATATTGAAATTTGCCAATTTGTGTATAATTTATAAATAACAATTTGTTTTTAAACAGATTATTGTATAAATAAACATGTATAATACATTATAGTGTTTATAATAATTGAATTTGAATAACTTGGGAATAAAAAAAGTACAAATATTTAATTTTGTATCAAAATTGCAAAATTTCAAGATTAAAAAAAATTTAATTTAATAATATTACATAGTAAACTTGCATATGTGCAACATAAGTCTACAATATGTTTCTTTAATTTTATAGTGGGTATAATTATTATAATAGTGGTGTTATGGTTGCTTGATTGGTAACGGTCCAATATGTGACCTACAAATGTTACTCAACCTACCAATAAGATTGTGTTGATGTTTCTTTATCACGGTTATTGTCTTTATGGGCATTTTATTCTATATTATTCTTGTTCTGCAATACTTAATACAATCATTAATACTTGTATTCAGTGGTGTACATACAATTTTTTCTGGGGGGAGGAGTGTTTAAGATTCAATTCATAATATTCTTAGTAAATCTTAATACGAGGTCTTATATAATATTACATTTAAAATGGTATTATTATTGTGTACCATATTTAATGAAAATTATTTTGTTACTCAATTTTTTAAATATATACCTAACCATAGTAAAATGAAAATATAATTTTACTATATTTTGTAAATATTAATAAATAATAATTAAATATCATTAAAAAAAAAAAAATCAAGGGGGAAACCCCCCCTTAACTACGCCACTACTTGTATTTACTGTCCTCAGTTAATACAGTATCGATTTCATTCGTGTGCGCTCGTTTTGTGAATTTTTATGTTTTGACTCATCAATGAACATAACATCTATTATTGGTCACATATAACTGTAGGCACATTATTAGAGGTGAAGTGAAATGTGTTCAATACTTAAAAGACCGAGGGTTGTTACTGACCGATAATCCGATGACACATATAACGGTGAAAGATGGTGTTGTACGTAATGACCAACTTGTGGAATATTAAAGAAATAGTAAAAAAGGAAATTCCGATGGCACCATGAAAAAAGTTGTGACATGATGTACAAAACGGGTTTGTCAGACTTATCAATCGATTCGTAAAGATAATGAGTTTTTTACCTACACGAGTCTTAACAACCGTTGTAATAGTCAGCTATCAATATGTGAAATGTGAAATAATTGAAATTGATTAATTCCAGTAAATTAAGCTGTAAATTGAACTAGCAAAAGCAAAAACACTATCATTGATTGGAATAATCTTTGCAGAGATAAACCAGTAAATTGTTTTTAAAAAAAGATAGAAAATGGGTGGTCAAGTATAGCTAATTCGTAAATATAAAATTTTTCCCAAATGGCAAAATGCTTTTCTCGATTGGTCATTAATAAGGGTATGGGACTTGTTGCATTTACCTATTTTTACAATGTAAATTAAATATAGGTAAGTGGTTTGTCTCGCGCGGTCGCGATTGACGATCTAAATTTGTTCGCAGCGCGAACGCGATTTGACTGCTCGAAGACCAGTTACAAGGGCGTATTAGAGTTGTGGCTATGGGGGGGGGGAACCAATTTTTCTTCAATACAAACTTAAAAATAATTTACAGTTAATTACCTACAGCTCATGTTTCTGTTATAATGATAACATATTATAATGTAGACTAGTAATTTATATTTTTTAAGTAAATCAATGTATTATATTCAACAAAAAGATGAGCCTTGTGGGGGCGAATGCCCCCTTCGCACCCCCTTAAATACGCCCTTGACCAGTTATAAAAGCATTTCAACAATGGCATACTTTAAGCTATTTCACTTTTTTTTCAGATTTCATGACCACCGAAACTATTATGGGTTGCGAAAAATATATGCAGTGTCGGATTACCCATTAAGCGGAGTAGGCACCCATTAGTGATGGGCAAAAGTAACTATTAACTACTGACTTAGTCGGTAATATCAAATGACTAATTTAGTTACTCGAACATTTTTATTATTCGACTAGTTATTATTATTTTTCGACTAATTTTTATATTTAACTTATATTGTTATTATTTTACTTATTTTTAATTTTTATAATTTGATTTATAATTTTTATTCAAATCGTTTTTATTGGACTGATTGAAAGCTTTTAGCAGAATTATTTTATTCAACATAATAATATAACAAAAAACTTAAACATTACTTCAGAGCAATATAAATTAAAATTTACAAATTTACAACTGTTTTAAATAAATTTTGGGTATTAAATATATTTTATATTTGTAGTGTATTGTGCAAGTGTTATTTTCGGTATTTTTCTTTTAACTAGTTTAAAATAAAAATACGACTACAATTTCTCAGAATTACCGAATTATCAGTTCCTAATTTTAGTCGAATAGTTATTAGTCGACTAATTTCATTTATTTTTGTTAGTTGGTCTTAAACATTTTAGTCGAATAATTAGTCGGTTGTACGTGATGAAAACCGACTAATAGTCGGTAGTATCAAATAGTCGTTCCTGCCCATCACTAGCATCCACCTTAGGGCCTCACTCATTTAAGACGCTCTGTGAAAACGGAAAACTATATTTTTTTTATTTACGAATTTACAAGACAAAAGTCACTATGAAATACAATATATATTAAATTGTAGGTGTTATATGTAGTAATAATAATAAAATTATTTTGAAAATAATAGAAATAACGTAATAATTAATTAATTTTTCTTGCAAATAAAAAAATGTAATAAACATGATTTTATTTATTAATAATAGTTGTTTATTATTAAAGCTGTTTATTTTAATTATTGGATAGTAATGTTAAAGAATTACGTAAAAAATAATTTTGTAGGGCCTAAAATTTTAATTGCCTAGAGGCCCACAAATATTTAATCCGGAACTCAATAGGTATATGGCAAGACAAGTGGGACGCGATTCAAAAAGATTGAAGACCACTTAGATAGATACACCGTTAGATAATGTATGTATTTTAAATTGTAACAGGTTAGCTACTATAAATGACCCCATAGTATACAGTGTCGTCATAATATCATGAATACAATTGATTTCTGAAAAAAAATAATGCCACCTGGAACGCTCGTCCCTTCTATTCCCTTTAAATATGTACCTATTTTTTTATTTATGACTTTTATTATGAGGACATTATGATTTTCCTTAAATATATAACTATAATGAATTTAAATTTCACGATTTCAAAGTTCACGATTCATGGCCACGCAATGGATTTTTTTTTTGTCTGCAGTACAATATTATTATTTTACTATTCAAAAGTTCCATAAGTTATTATAATTTATGTCACTCACTCATTTCATGTTTACCAGTTAAAAATGCTTAAAACAGTAATAATCTTACACATTGTACACCTCTATACATATTTTGCCAAAATGGATACATTGAATAATCCAATAATGAAATCTTATCCAAATGTTCTACTCATTATTGTGATTTGTAATCATGCTGACGATGAACAATGAATTCACTTCGACGATACATTCAAAATATTAACGAGACGTTAGTTCATTAATACTTAGACGTAACTATAATAGAGGTTATGGGGTGCTCAAGCTTAGCAGATTAGTTAAAAAGTAAATATAGTCACTCAAACGACATACAAATAATAATTTGTACATGTAATCGAAACAATGTCCACTATAATCGTTCATTACTCATGTCTCGTTACCATATTTGCGTACTATATTTTTTTTATGCCACTAAATACACCTACGTATATTATACCTACTGTAGGTCCTACACATAAATGATGCGTGTATATAACAAGTGTACCTTACGGCCAATTTTACATTTAAAGTTTATTAGACGTTTAACTATGATACATTAATACTCATATATTATAAATACCTATTAATACTCGTCTCGTCCGATACAGGAACAAAATATATTTTATTTTGGAGAAAAATTCCGAAGAAAACTAATCAAAAATGTCATATAATATATTACATTTCGCATTTTAATGAAACATCCCACGTAATTTTTATATTCGTTTTAAACAGTGACTGTGAAAATAATAAATTTGTTTTATTTTTTATTCGAAACACATTTATAAATATACAGTTTTTTTTTCCATCAAAATCAATTGTTCAAATGTTTTTCGTTTTTATTTTTCACATTTACATCATCCATACGTCTTACGCATAATTGTAGAAGATGTATAGGTGTAAATAACAAGTTATTCTAATTAATAAACATTGAAGAGCATATTTATATACGTTATATTTCTAAAATATAGGGCATGCTGCGAATGAGGTAGGCCGTAGAGTATTGAATGGTGATGACGAGTACATGCATTTGTATTAGTGTATTATTATAATTACGTGACCGAATTGTTTTACCAAACGGACCAGACAGGTGTGTCAAACGGAGTCAAAATATTTATCGGTGAACATTTACTAGCACCTGTGTAGTGTAGTATCGTTAAGAGTGTAATAAAACTTTTTCACTGTTGAGGGGAAGATGTTCAGGTTAAATTCCTTTCAACAGGGCTAATTAAAAATCATGCAGAATAATTAAAACATGAAATTATTACGATTGTAACTTTTTGTTTCGGCCGAAATAAACGCAATATTTGTAGATTTATTGATTGTTGATTGTGGTATATATACCATGAACTATAGCATATCATACATACCTTTAATAGGTACCTACCTATCTACAATGACAGTGCTAATTTTTGTGAGGCCCTGGGCAAAATAAATGTTGAGTCTTATAATTTGTATTAATAAAATATTTTAAGTTTAACGAAATCAGAACCACGGGGCCTTAATTATAATTTAAGGCGTGGGGCCTTGGGCAACTACCCCTATTGCCTTCCCCTCGCGCCGTCCCTGGGTACCTACATTTGATTTTACGAACGATGAATAATGATTATTGGTCGATAAATTAAATTTAAAAATGAATAAAAATAGCATATCGTTATATCCGTTGATTTTATTTAAATTTTTTTTCTCACTGCTCAATTAGCTAACGCATCTGTATATAAAACTATATAGGTATTTTTAAGTTTGGTAAACTATTTTTTACCTTTATTTCTATCGAGAATGTTTATGTAATTTGGGCGTCAGACTATAAATGTATTAGTTTTGTTAAGTTAACGGATAGATTACCTAATTCAAATCGAAATGAATAACTAACATTCGCGTGTTGAAAATTCGTATTGCGGATGGGCGCATTGGGGTTCGGAAATAGGAAGCGTATAACATTCAGTAGTAATATTTTAAACCCTTTTTTTAATCGGAAAAATTAATGAAAGTAGGCCGCTGATCCAATCACTATAGACTATGTACCTGCGAGTCGTGAACCTTTTAGCAATTGTTTTAATTAGTATCGTAAGGCTCGTTTTTTACCCATGTCCGGCTGTAATTCTTATCAGTCAAATCAACCGTTATCACAAGATGAAAGGTAAAAATAAAAATAAACAACTTTTTGTTTAATAGGTACCAGTTCAGATTCTCATTCTTCCTTACCCATTGCCCAACTTCAACTTTATCTTGTTTTTCATAGCGCCATGGAGTTGCGACCGAAATAGATGTGTAATTCGTTACTGGATTTAACGAAACATTTCGGTTTACACAGTTTGCCGGTACGAGACGTGCAATTTACATACAACTATGAATCGTATTTGTATTTAACACGTTCACACACACACTCGCACATACGCAAACAAACTTTCCCCGGCATACCCGTTTGTCAGTAAGTATTTCGTCTTGTACGATCCATACACATTTCGCCTTTCTCTCTTTGTCTCCTGTTTCTAGGTGCAGCCAATGAAATGCGTTTCAATAAACAGGAGATGATCACATTGGCACAACAGCCGTCCAATAAATTTGACAAAGAAGGGTTGTTATACGTGCGAGAACGACAGGAAGGGTTTTTCAGAAGAACCGAGAGTGAGTACCTTACAGCTTTAAATGGTTGGTGATGTATACTTATGAGAATATTCTTAAAAAAATTGCCTAGAAAAGTATTAAACTGTTAATTATTTCTCTAGAGAAACTTTTATGTATAGCCTTTATATTGGCATATTTTACATCAGCTTAGCATGTTAATTTACAAATTGTTTTACATTTTAATTATATACTCATTTGGAATTTTGCATGATACATTTTAGTAATTTTACATTAATTTCACTAGATTGGTTTAATAATATTAATAAACTAGTATCATAACATCATGTGTTATTGGTTGGTCTGTTTTGAAATAACAAAATAATTAAATATTTATATGTATTATTTAAAATAGTATATATTTTTTTAAAATGTTAAAAATCTAAATTTAGGTTTTATAAAACAGAAATCACATATAAAATTTGACCATATGGTCTATAAATAATTTATTAATTATTATTATAATGACTGTTGTTATAATTATAAATTATTTGAGAATAAGATATGATTGAGATATGATTTGTTATGTAAACACAAAACAGTTTTATATCAACGAATAATAATTAATATAGTAAATAGTAATTATATGTGTAGAATGATAATAATGTGATTAATTTGTTATTTTAATATCCTTTATCATTTTAAACTTTTTAGAATATTGCAGAAGTGTCACTACTATTGGATAGTTTTTCATTCAGAATTTTCATAAACACAGTAAGCAACTTACTTGTTTGTGTTTGTTGGTTAAAACTTGTATATGTATAAATTAAAAAATAATAATAAAGTATACAACTATTTTAGAAAAATTAAACATTTAAAAGTTTATTTAACTTTTATCATAATTATAATTGTACACTGTTTTATATAATGATAAAACTGTGGTTGTATTGTTCTATTTTTGGTAATAAATAACTGTTTTATATTTAATTATTAAAGTGGAATAAAATAGATTTCTGTTACAATTATTTTATACGAATAACTCAAGAGTTTAAATTAGGATATTTATGGATATCTGAATGGTTTGATGATTATTTTCAAAGTATTATGTTTTATTTTTACTTTAAAACTAGGATCTTAAACAGATATTTTTAGATGTCTTTGCATAGGAAAAATTTATCTGTAAGTATTACATACACAGCCATCATGCATCTAGGTCTATATTATCACCTACTCGCCTATCTTCAATGACTGCTAGTGTAATATTACTTCTTGATTATCTCTGTAGGCGCCAATAAATCTTTACATTATATATATATCAAATTAATAAATACAGATAAATTAAATTAAATTTTGTAAAAAAAAAGTGGAAGATAAATATATTATAAATTTTAATTAATTATTATTGTTATTATTCAACATATATAAATGATTTATATTTTATAATTTTAAATTTAAAAAAAAAGGATGGTAATTTATTAATTTTATCTTTTTTGTTTTGGTTGAGCGGCTGATCTTATGTTTTTAAAATCATTTTAATAGAGTTTAAGACTATTAGATTAATTTAAACAATTTCAGAAAGAGACTCAAAACGAAGCAAAAAACGGGAACGTCTAAGCGATTTGAACTGTTATGGAGGATCACAAAAAGGTATATGATTATTAATTATAAACTTACATTTTTAAATAATTTTACAATTTTTAAATACAATACCAGGTATATTAAGTAGTTAATGTATGGTGAAAAATACAAATGCATATATATGTATATCTATCTCTGAATCAATGTTTATATATATGGTAATCCAATCTGGTTTATAATGTTGTAAGATATTATCTGTTTAGTTTTTATAAAATAATTTGGCATAGCAAAAAATATAAGATAAGTAATAAATAACTAATAAGATTATCATAATGTTATTGAATATCAATGTTTTAGTTAACTTAATCAATCTAGAATTTATGTTAAAAAATATCCATACCTACAAACAGTTGTATATTTTTTATATTATGGTTACATTATTATTAGCTAATAATACATTTAGTGTTTTGTTTTGTTGAAAGAAAAATATTGTTATTTATTATAACTACATTAATTATACATATAATTTGTAGAATTTAATATTTATTGCTCTTTGCCATTATATTATAAACAGACTGTACATTGTATTATTCATTAATTATCAGCATGAAACTTATGTGTTGTTGCATGATAATAATTATTATGTCCATATGCAACCCATTACTAGCAAACCTAACAGTTAATTTATATATATATTTTTATTCATTCATTAATATTAAAATAATCTTTGAACCTTTTATTTTTTTATGATGCATGTTGATAACTTTTTTAAATTAAAGCTCAAAGTAAAGTTATTACTTTTTAAGTAATTTCAATTTTTTTTCATATAATTCTGAATTTACATTAATATTAAATAACAATAGAATAATATTATGAAAAATCATTTTAACAAGCATTTTTATTAGTAAACTTACCTTTTTTGAATTTATATTAATTGCTTAGTCATATTAAGAAATATTTTTCTGATCAATTAATAATTACTTAAAATTTCTAGTTTTAACTTAAAAATTAATTAGCGTCCAATAATCAAAAATTGAAAATAAAACTGAACGGAATGTAATATTGTTAACACAATATATGGAGTTATTTTTGTTGTTTAGTGGTTATTCAATATTGTTCAGTATATTTCCTATGTTTGTTCTATAAATTTTTTCAATTATCATCTTGAACCCATAATGTACTTAGATCATTAAAATAATTTGTTTAAGTTAAATGTTTTGATAACATTAATGTATATTTAATTTTTTTATAAAGCTAATTTTGAACGCTGGTGTCGTTTGAGAGGAAATTTGCTATTTTACCTTAAGTCTCATGATCAGTTATCAGACTTACTTGGTGTTATAGTTTTACAAAATTATTCTGTACAATTAGATGAATCACCATCAGAAGGACCATTTAGTTTTCAAATAGGTATGACTGTTTTACATTTGATTTATTATATATGTTTACATATATAATGACCAATAAATTATATTTATAATCCATACTTAATTATTATTTTTTATAGTTTTTGAAAATGGTATTTGTCAACAAATTGCTGCACACACAGAATCAGAAAGAGATTCGTGGTTAGAAGCAATAGAACAAGCAAGTTACGAAATCATGCGTGCAAGACTATTAGATCTAAGAAGACAGTTAGAAGTAAAACGGAAGCCAGATTTAGACATAAATATGTGGAGATTACGTAAAAATCAACCAAAATTAGGTAACAATTATTATTTTAACTAAGCAAAATATTTTATTTTTGAAGTGGGTGTGTAAAATGTTGAGTTATTAAAAGGTATCAAGTTTATTTTTACTAAATTAGCATTATAATTTTTTTTCAAGTTATTGAACATTTTTTGAATTATTAAAATAAATTTTAACGTTAATTGTTAATTGCTAATTTTTTTAAAAAAAATTTCAGATCTAACAAAGGTGCCCTTATGTGAAATTTGTTTTTCATGTGATAATTTGATATGTGACGGGCATGGTCGTTCTCCAAATCCAGCAATTGTTGTTTCAGTTTATATACCGAATGAAAATGTTTGGATTAATTATGCCAACACAGAAGTTATCACAGATAATAGTAATCCATCATTTTTGAGAACCATATGGTTACAGTGCAGTGATGGATTAACTGAGGATTGTATTCTTCGTATATCTGTTTATGATGTCAGAGAATGTATTTCAGGAACTGCTGTAAAAATGGGACATTGTGAAACGACACTAAGCTCATTGTTGGAAGCTACTCATTCTGGAAACAATGGGCAACGTGTTCGTTTACCTCTGTCTTCACCAAGTATTCGGTCTGATTTAGATAAAATAGTTGGTTTTGTGACTATGACCATTTGTCGACCAGACAAACAGATTGGACATAACATGAGTACAGAATCTACACCGTGTAAATCATTGATGTATAATAATCATAATTTTCCAGTAAGTCAATTTAGAAAATCGTAATAACAATATGTTATGCAAATAGCTTTATTATAGATGGCAAATCATCGAAGAACTCAATCATTACCTCCAAGACTTGGATCTAGATTACGCGTTCCATTACAGAACTATCTGTATTTATTATTTGGCAATGTATCATTTGTGACATATCGTTTTCATTCCGGTCTGAGGGGAGATATTTCTGTGTATGAAATAATGGCTGAAAGCAAGTTGTGTTTTTATTTACCACAGCAGTTATTGTAAGAATTTATACTATTAAGCTAGTAGAACATAAATTAATTAATATCATACATAGAAATATATGGATTCTTGAAGAGAAAGAACTTTTACAAGAAGTGTCAGGAATGGGTGAATTATCAGAGCCATGGCACTCTAAACAAGTAGAATTACTTGACAGACACTTACAGCTATTGCATTTATATTCTCAAGCCAAACAAAATCTTGAAAACCAAAAAGGTAAATTAATAGAATTGTTTTATTTCATTAGGAATACTGCTGTCAATTAATAATAATAGTGAAGGATTAAATTATACTTTTTTTTTAAATTTTTAGGAATTTATTTTAAACCAAGTTCTCGTAAAAATGATCGTTCCTTGGAGTTTGCTCCAATCAACTTACATTTGCAACGTATTTGGGTTCAAAATGATACATTAAAAAAGAGTGGATTTTATGATACAATTACTGTTGGAGCATTTACTGCACATTCACATAAATCTAAAACTGGTGGATTAATTAAGTAAGTTTTTTTTATTAAACAATGCATTAAGTATTGGATAAATAAACTTTTCAATTTTTTTTTTTTTAGATTATTACAACAGCTTAAAGAAGCACCATTAAAAACAAATGGTCATGCTATGGTCAGTAGTAAAATAACAATGGCTTTTGATGCTATTCAAGCTATTAAACTACTCAGGCGAGAAGTAGTAGATGCAATGAAAACATTATTAAATTTAGCAAAAGATAAGCAAACTGCAGGAATGATGCCAATTTGCAATGATATGATGTCCAAAGTAATTAATTATGTTTATGTGCTTTAACTTAAGATTGGATTATGATAAATAAGTTTTTGTATTACAAAACCAAATTGAGTTATTCTTTAGATTAAAATTAATCTTATCATTATTCAAAAATTGTATTATATAGAGAAACAATGTATAAGAAAATTATTTGTATCTAGAATGACCAGTAATCAATTAAAATGATTAATAAATGTATAAATTAATATATATATATATATACATACATATTTGGCATGTATATGTATTATATATTTCACAGTTGTAACAAAATTATGTTATTGATCTAATATGGTATCTGGTTAAGTGCAAACTATTTTTGGTTCATTGCAATATTCAATGCTATAACAAATACTTTTATTATGTCCTCTTTAGACACGAATTTTGCTTAGTCTTTGGGATCCAAAGCTTGTTGAAGAAGCTTTGAATTTTATTGAGGAACATAAAGTGACTCCTGTCTCATACGATGACCATGATTCTATTAAGCATTCTTCAAATTATCATGTATCTCCATTTAAGCGCATTGCAAGCCAAATAAATTTTGACCTACAATCTCCAGATACAGAAGATTTATACACTCCAGAAAGTCCAAAAAGTTTGAGAAATTTGATGAAATTTGATGCAAAAAATATTCAAGATGAACATGGCATTGGAATTAATGATGATCAACAACAATTTATTGTGTTTCCAGAATCTAAGGGTGAAATGGATAATAACCACGATGATATGCAAAATAATATTGGTTAATAGTTTAGTTAATTAAACAAACTATATAACAGTCTTTTAAAATAATTATTTTTAGGTGTAAAAGACAGTTCATTACATATTGAAAATGGCAATGGCATGAGAACAGGTCAATTTTTAGACACTTACTCAATGTGTAATTCACCTTCGGCAAATTATTATAAGCCAACTGAAGAACCTGAACCTTGGGAACTAACTCAGTTGAATATTGAAGCTAGTATTATGTGTCTAGTAAGTAAAGTCAAATTTTTGTGTGGCCGTTGCAACAGTCCAGCAGTGAGATTGAGGTCTCAAAGGTGTCGTAGCTTTCGTTCAAATACAACACCATTAAATCAAGTAAAGTATAATATTTCTTATAATATTATATACTAAATATTTTTATATATTTTGCATATTATTATATTATTGTTCAAGTAGTATTAACAAATAAATATTGTAGGTGACAAATGGCTATCAACCTGTGAGTTTAGATTCTAGGATCACCCAACTTAATGATTCTAAATCAAATAATGAAGTATCAACAAATATTAATAGGTGAGTAAAGTTCTTCAAACGTAAGTTTTGTAGTTTCAATGAGTTAATGATTGTTTCTGTAGTGCACCTGCCAGAAACAAGTTTACAGAAGGACTAGATTTCAATCTTATGACTGATTGGCCTACTGAATTAAAGCCAAGCATGCGTAAACTTCGTCAAGCTATGGATGGACTTTTGAAAACTGCAAGACTTACTCATAGTGTTTTCAGGGTACAAGAAGATAAACGATCTGCTGAACGATCATGTAATGTTCGTTATCGAAGACATGTTTGTTTTTCACAAGCGGTAATGAAAAAAATATCTATTAAAAACTCAGTAATTCATTTTTATTTTTGTTAGTTGACTGCTCTTGTCAGTGGATTGATGGCAAGGCTGTGGTGCCAAAAACCTGAACCTGAATTCTTATATGTACTGTCCTCAATTGGTTGTTTAGCCTCATTTGAATGTCTATTAAGTTACTATGGCAACGAGATTGACATGTGGGGCGACATGGCTATTGCTATTGAAGATCTAGCCACTGTAAACTTTACTTTATTGCCATTATCACAAGCTGTTAGGTATTTTATTTTTAACTCTACATAATAAACATATTTGTGTACATAATATTTTTTTTTTTTTATAGAGAAAATCCTAAAGATGAAATTATGCCACGCATCGTAGGTTCTAAGAATTCTTTATGTGTTTTATTACCTGTTCCTGATTTAATTCAATCATTGTTGCCTTCTAAAACCATTGCTCCATTTCGAGTTACACCTGTTTTTTTCAATATAGGCATTAATGAAATGGCTACTATTGCAGAAAACCTAGGAAATACAAAACCACAAGACAGTAGCAATATTGATAATTTTGAAAGATTAAATGAATTCTGTTCAAGATATCGTAAGCTTAACTTGTCCAATAATGGTGATTGTGAACGGGAAGGGACTTCCATTGGAGGACTTATGAACAGCTTAAAAGATTCATTACATAGTAATAAGAGTAAAAATGTGGAAGTATTGCAAATGGCAGCTAAAATTTGTCGTTGCTTAAAGGGTAAGACCTATAATATCTTATATGTACTATGTTGAAAATTTAGTTTCCTACATATTTTACTACTCTTGAACCAAATTTATTCTCCAAAAATATGTCTTTCATGATTCTAGTTTCACATTTTAAGTATTTCAACGCTATACTATTATTTAGTATTGAAAAATGTAATTTTAATCCATATCTCATAAATGTTTATTTTTAATTTTTAGGGTTATGAGTTAGTTTGATACTATTGAGTGATCAAATAATTAAAATATTTTATATTCCAGCTTTATATAAACTTAAATTATTTACAGGTTTACGATTTACTAGTTGTAAAAGTGCTAAAGATCGAACGGGTATGTCTGTTACATTAGAACAGTGTTCTATTCTAAATTTAGAGTATGGACTAGCTGATAGTGAGATTCAAAGAGCATTGGATTGTATGAGAAGGTAATGGAATTCAATACATTTTTTGAAAAAATATAAAAGAGACTAATGATTTTTATTTTATTTTTTCAGTGAGGGATGTAGAAGGGAAAACGCATACAAAAATACTGGGGTCAGAAAATATGCTTTTAACAGATTACAGCACTTCACCTTACCACAAATGTACAGACCTCCAGCTGGTACTTATGGATCAAGCCAAACTTAATGGTTACCATGGTTGTTACTAAATTATTTCTTGTTTCATTTTCTTTTATTTTATTTATTCTATTCTCAATACTATTTTAACATTATAATGTTCCTATACTAAGACTGCAGTCTTAATGTACTTCTTAAGATTAATTTCTGGAGTAAGAACAATATATCGTATAGATTAATATCATTGTGCCCTTGATAGGTTTTCTATTACAAAAAAAAAAAAAATGAACAGTATGATAATGTATTAAATATATAGTATTAAAATTAATATTTATTTGAATTCTAAAGAAAAATTATTAATCAATTACTAATATAATATTAAAAACATACATTAGCAATATTAGTCATGTGGCAATATAAAATAAAAAATTGTATTTATTTTAAATAGTATAGCTATACAACTGCTATTTATAAAGGTGATTCTATATCTTTTTGTCATTGTATTGTTTTTAATTATGCGCATTATTGAAGTAATCTGGAGGATTATTGAGTAAAATTAGCTAGTTGCATGAGTGGAGAAATAGTATTTGCTCAAGCTTTTGAAATATGAATCTAGAAACTAGGGTCTTCATATAAAACACTTTGTTTTCTAACATTTTTTCTTGATAAAATGTTAAGGTTGCAAATGTATGTAAATATGAAATTTGATCAGATCATTAATATCATCATTTGATTTCATACACAACTAATATTCATAAATCCAAAAACCATAATGTTATACAACATTAATAATATTTGATGTTTGATTTATTTCTTTTTTTACTTTTGTCTGACAAATAGAGAAAATATTAATTTAAATTTGAATATTTTTACTATAGGAAAATGTACATGTATTATATTTGGCTTTATGAATACAGTATCCCATTAATTTAAATTTTAATAACAATTTTTTTTAAAAAGTTATTTAATTTAAATATTTTAGTGGCACAAATGATTTTACTACATAAAAATGTAAATCAATGAACATTTTTAGATTGCCATTGGCTTGAAAATGAGTTTTATTCAAAGCTCAAGTAAATTACAGACTGTAATATTTATAATATTATCCAACTACATTTATATTTATGTACTTACATACTTTATGTACTTACTTACCATTCAACATAGAAAATATTTGTAGCGTTGAAGATTAATCATATTTTTTAACAGATATTTAAAGAAATTATAAGTGTCAAAAATGTAGTTCATGTAATGAGGCATAATTTGTGCCAAGTTAACTATTAAAACCTAAAAAAAAAACATCGCTTAGGTGAAGAGCTGTCTTCCTGTTATTGATATATCAATCAAATTGCTCAAAATATTCAAATTAAATTAAAAATAATTACATATTATAATGCATGATTTAATTATATCATAAAAAGTTTTTAGTACTTAAATACTTTTTAAACATATATTTTATTCATGTATTTAAAATTTTTTCTCTTGTTAAATATACAATTGATTTTACCTTAAGCTGATTAATTAATTAACCTTTTAATTTTGTTATTATAAACTTTAATTTTTATTAAAATATTTTTTTCGTTTGCTTGTAGGCATGAACATATAAGTATATATTATATTGTTTACATTCTTTCATTTGTGAAATTAGTAATATATTTCTATATTTTGTTATAATAATAATTTATTTTTTTCTTGTTTTGTTTATGAAGTATTTTAGTTTGAATTTCTATTTCTTTGTTTAAAACGTTTAAACTTATTTACCAAACTATTTTCGAGATAGTTACATTATTGTATGTGCAATTTCATTCTTTAAGTTAATTTAGTGTTAATTATAATTTATTAATTACAAATATCATTGAAGTGTAAATAATATGCAGAGTTATAGAATTATTAAATGATTAAACTATTTATTTATATTTTGTTTTAGTTATTCATTATTATTGTAATTAGTATATTACGTTCATATATTTAAATGTATTATTATTTACTAATTAACAAAGGCCTACTAACTTTTAGTAACTTATTTGAAATAATTGTTTTCTGTTATTATTTAGTTGTATATTGAACACACCGGTCTATTGTGTTTTTATCATGATTATGGATTCTGTTTATGATCGTGGTTTTTGTTAAATAAATATTATATTATGTACATTATTAATAATTTTTTTTTTTTATCAATCAAAAATTATTATTCCATACATTCCAGTGATATATCTCGCTAAATTTTCAAATAACTCTGACACTTATCAAGTTAGATGGCAAATACTTATAATCACAGTATTTGTGTGACCTAAATATGAGTGATTATATAACTTGTTTTGAGAATTTGACTTTATTAGTAATTTGGGGAAAAAAGTGATATATTCATTTATATAATACTAAAAATAACTGACATTAATACTTATAATAGTACTTTATTTTCTTTATAAAAGTAAATTAATAAGAATTAACAGTACGTTTATTTTAATTTTAACTGTACAAAATTTGGTAAAGAAAAAACCCACATATGTTTAAGAAAATATATAAAATTTACAAATAAATTCAACTAAATAAATACAAAGATATTAAAAAACAACTAACAATGGTGACTACTTAAAACCACAGCTCTCCTAAATCACCTTCATTTTTTATATCTAAGCTGTCATTGTGAGGGCTGTCTTTGGCTATTTCCTCATCGGAATCACTGATTTCCAAATCATCTTGGATATTAGCACTGGTGTGATTTTGATTACTCGGTCCTGGGAGATCTTTATCATCACTTGTATCCACATTATGACTTCCAGTTGGTAAGAAATCTGATGGGTCATAATTCGGGTCGAGATCCATACTTTCTTCAGCTAATAAAGAAACAAAAATTATACATTGTTAGCTTATATGTAATTCGGATTTCACCTTGGATTTGGTTGGAGAAAGTTTCAGGAGCAGGATTGTATCCCATGTTACCAAGCAAGACCATGGCTTCTGCAACTTGTTGACTGTCATCGTCTGGTGGGTTTTCTCCAACAACTTCCATGAAATCATCTTCTTCACTCGAACAATGTAAATCTGCAATTTAAACTCACCATAAGTAAATCCAAAATCACTTGTTCCATTTCCTATTTTATGCAAATTACCATCTTCTAAAATATGATTAGTTTCAGTTTTGAAATTGCTACTGTCAGGATCCATTTGGAATTCTATGTCTTCAATGTTCACTTTATGTTCCCTAGGTGAATTTAAGTTCTGAAAAATATAATTATTATTAAACATGAAAAGAAAAAAAGTTTAATTTGATTGTAATCTATTTAAAACAAATACAGCTATGCTAGTTTATTCAAAGTAATAATTACTTTAAAATAACTTACATCTTCCATGTCTTCTTGCATATCTCCATAATCATCATCTGCAGCTGAATCAATGTCAACCTGTTCTAGAGCTCGAGCCTGAACTAAACTGATATTTTGTTCCACTTGTGTCAGATATTGATCAAACTGAAATTTAAAAGCAAGTAAATTAAACATATTCAATAATATTTAAATATCCATAGTTTTATTAACTTACCTCTTCCAATGATTCTGTAGCCACGCTTACTAATTTTCTTGCTTGTTGCGTAAAGTCTGAATCTTCACCATTATATGCAATGCTATTTTCTAAAATTAAATTAATATCTGCCAAAAATTCTTTACGGTTGTGATATTTATGACCTGAATAAAAAGTAAATTAACACATTGTTCATAAAACAACTAAATAATATTGTGTAAATGTAAAACCAATAACTAATTTTTTTTCCGTTTAAATTATCGTAACTTGAAGGTAATTTATAAATATTTAATTAAAATAACTAACTTGAAACACGTGAAGCTATGGTTTCTAAATCAATTGGATATTTAATAACATTATAATAGTCTTTCACTAATTTTCGATTGACTGGTTTCATAAATGGCCATGCTTCACTCATGATCTTTACTTTGCCAACAACATTATCCAAGATAAATGTTAAGGCTACTTGGTCATTATCATCCAACAATGGATTAATTGCTTTTTCTAACAACATGAGTCGTTCTTCTTTTTCGTGTAAGCGATCCACACAAACACCTAACATTCTACGAGCAGCAACAGTAAGAGAACTTTTGGCACCTAAGTAATGATTTTATCTTAGAGAAATAGAAAAAAAAAAAAAAGATTTTAATGTATTATTTTATTAAATGTACCGTTATATAATGTTGAATTTTCAACAATTTGATTGACATCAGATAAAAATTCTTCACGGTTCTGATATTTCTTTAAATGTAGTCCATCTCTAATTGTTTGTAAATCCATTGGTCTCTGTACGATGTTGTAATAATCGGGAACTTTCTGTAAAATATAAATTGTATGAATTTGAAAAGGTGTAATTTAATCTAAGAAATAATCTAATAATAGTTTACCTTAACATTGACTGGATAAATAAATGGGTGCACATCAGGCATACCACGCATTTCATTTAATATAGATTCAAAAATAGTTGACAAAACAATTAATGGATCAGTACGACGTCTATTGGCAGAACGGTCAGGTTTCTTTAAATAATCACAGTGGAGTTCATTTTTACGTTTTTTACGTGATAATGCATCTTTAGGTACTTTTAAGACCAGAGATCTTCTTTTAACTTCTTCTGCATGCTAATAAATTTAATATTAAATTATATTAATATAAAAAAATTCTATGTTAAATAAAATTTACCCAATAATAAAAATAAACTTACCTTCAGGAGTTTACTGGATAGTGTGACTTTTGTTCCATCCACATTAACTAAATCTTCATCTTCAACATTCATTTGTTTTTCAATTTCTTCTTCTTGCTCTTCAGTAAGGGCAACATTAACTGATGCATTAGGATTTAGATTATACTGAGGACAAGCTTTGTTCGTTCTCATGTGACCAACATTACCACATGCCCCACATCTGACTTTTAGGTCTGGTTTCATTTTACTGGGTTTTGGTTTACGTGGTCTTGGTGGCGTGACTTCAATACGTGGCTTAGGTATTGTTACTGTGCCTGATGTAGGCATTGGTACATCATTACTTAGGGAATTGCTTTTGTTGACCATTGAATAACCAAAACCTAAGAATATTGAATGATAAAGTATTAAAATAACATTTACCGATTAATTTATTATGTTATATAAATTTACCTGGTTGAGGCCTGGAAGTATTAGAAAAACGTTCACGTTCTTGATTTCTTTTGATACGTCGTAATTGTTCTTGTATTCTTCGTTTTTCACGTTTCATTTCTTCTTTTTGTGCTTCATCCATAAGCGCGTACTGTCTAATAAAACCTTCATCTCTTGTTGTTCTAATTTTCACATACGCATCAATTACACCGGGTTTACGTACAACTTCTGTTCTGGTGAACTCTTTACCATCAACTCCTTGAAATGTTCTATAAATTCTAAGTACACGGCCTAGAAGTAAGAGTACAATTTTATTTTTTCTGTATTTATAAGAAAATATTATGTTCTACCGTACCTGGTTGTCCGGTTGATGAAAATTGCATACTATCATCATCGTCTATTTTTTTTTTATCTCTCTTTCGCATGTCTTCATTATGTTCCCCCATAATCATTTTACGAAGTTCATGACGTTCTTGTTCTTCTTTTTCCAGTGATAACTTAATCAAGGGAAATAGAGTTAATAGAAAATATTAAAAAAATTTATAATTAAGAAAGAGTTGATTTTCACTTCAGTTGATAAAAAATTACATTAATAAGGTAAAATAAGCACTATTTAAAAAAATTCACAAATTTCTTTTACATAATTATAAAACTAATTTATGTACATAAACAATAAATATAACACAGAGTTAAGATTCTTATATATCAATACAAGGTTTTTTTAAAGGCTCCCTAACACATTACATAAATACTTTACTGTTAGTAGATTCTACACCTTTAAATATTCATTAAATATTTAAGGTCTTAAATTTGATTAATTTATCTGTAAATATTTATATATATACCTGTGTGCTGGTTTTTTTATTAGATAACATGTTTTCAATGTTTTTTCCCATTTCTTCAATGTCAGAACAATCTTCTTCATCAAAACTTTCGCCTTCATCAGTGGACAACAATTCATGAGATGAAAGTACTTTATTTTGTAGATCAAATATCCGTTGACATTCTTCTTTATATCTAAGACACATTAATATAAATAAAGTATATCAATACACCTAATAGTTATAGTTTTCTATTTTTACCTTTCTTGATGTTCAGCAATCGAAAAACGATTTCCTCTAGAAAATTTTGTCATTCCTTCTTCACCCGCTTTAGCTTTTTCTGTAGATAAAGTACGAACTACATCAATAACTTCCCATCGTGACAATTTTTTTATTTCTTCTTCAGGTACTGCAAACTTTCTTAACAGAGCTTTTGCATTATTTAATGATAATCTTCTTAAATCCGCATCTGTTCCAGTCACCATACGCTTTGGTTGAGCTTCTTGTTCTTCTTTATTTAACTAAAATATTAATTATTTATTAGACATTAATAAGAAATTGTGTAGTAGCGGTTTTGAAAACCCTTTACATTAACTATGTTACTGTTCTGTTTACAATCACCAGATCACAGCATGCAACATTGTAGTAGCAATCTCCTCACTCACCTATCTATTTTGGTAAGGGAACGTGGCCCACTACTTAGTACAACTTTTGAACTAGACTATTTTTGTAATATTGCAAATACTACCTACTTTCACGATATGCATTGTTTAAGCGATTAAAATGTTTTTATACCTATCACTTTTATATCACTTTTAATTTTGGATCTTAGTCATATAACAATAGTATATGTTCGATACATTGTTATTACCACGCAATTTTTATTAAATATTATATATTTTATAATATTTATATAATATAAATTGTCACCCCCCTCTCCCCATCATCATGTATATGTTCACCACATTGGAAACGTGACAACATTAGTTACAGTAGAAAATTAGTATCATGAATAAGTTTTTTTTTTTTTTTTTAAATCAACCGACGACGGCCCCGGAACTGTTTTTCACATTGCTTCGGGGCAATATCATGAATAAGTTAAATAATTTTAAACTTACAGTTGGTTTATTAGGCACTCGTACATATGAAAATCCTTCTCCACAACCAGTAGGATCTGCAGGACCAGTGAGTTGAAGTAAACACTTATTTTTCATTGCTTGAATATATGCTCGTGTTGTATTCCATGGAGCAACTTTAATTTCGTCATCCATTTTTAATTGCATTTCTTCATCATCATCTTCTATACTGGTCAATATAAATTTCTCCCCATAACCAGCATCCTGAGGATTAAATCATATAAGCTTCAAAAAGATCTTAAATTAAATAAGCTAAATGTAAACTTTACTTTAAGTCTTTGTTCAGCTGCTATCATGCTAAAATAAGCACAGCATTGTTCTGGTGATACCATTGCACGTATTTCTTCTTCAGATGGTAAACGGAAATCAGGTTTAATAACCCACCAATTTGAATCCGATCCTAAAATTACAATAAATATGTAAATATTGATAGTCATAGATGGATTAAAATTATCTCTGTTTACCAGTTCTTTTAAAATCTGCACATAGCTTAAGACGTTTACGAATACTACTTTCAGAATGTGATGGAAATGCTCTTTTAATGTCATCCATTTTTATACGCCTGGGATAATCAGTACTTTTCCAAAACAAACGATAAATGAAAACCTACAGATAAAAAAAATATATATTTAAATAAAAATAAGTTGCAATAAGGCAAAAAATTAGTTTTTACCTGTAAGAAGTCTCTCACAAAGTTATTAGCTCGTTTAGAGTTTGGACCAGGCACTTCATATAATGGGCAAAGTTGTCCAGATGTAAATAAAGCATCTATTTCTCGAATGTAATAAGCATGCCTAAACATTTGGTAAATAAATAATAAATGGAATATAATTTTAGAATTTTAATCTCTTAAAACTATTGTGATTTCAGAATTAACAAAAATTAATAACACAAAAGTTAATTACATAACAAATAAGTTAATTATAACTAGAATACATATAATATAAATTCAAAGTAAAATAATAATAGGTATAAACTACAGTTACCTTGTTCTTATAAGTAAGAAATCATTTTCCAAAGGTTTGTGTTCATATATTGGTGCTCGATATAGATTATTTTCAATAACTTGAATTGTCCTACCAGGAGATAGTACACCCAAAAATGGTGAAGTATGAGCATAAGCAAGTTCTCCAAACCGTAGAATTGGTGGACCAGGGTCTTTTCCAATTTTACGTTTATAATAATTTTTAATTTTTGAACACATTCCCACCTAGAAGTAATATAATTAATATATATTGTCAAATTTGTTCTTATTTTCAGTTTATTTATTTTTACATACTTGATTTAATAAGGGAGGATGTTCTTCACAATATTCAACAAGAATAATAGAACCGTCTCGGCCAGTCAAATCATCAGGTGTTCTCATGAAAAACACATCACCACCACCAGAAGCTATTCGTTCTTGTTCTCTGAGCTAATTAAATAAATGTCAAATCAATTATTTGTTAAAAAAAGTTAGCATTTAAATAAATCGAAAAATTTTCAATAAATCCAGTTACATTAAACATTTTAATATTATTGATTTTAAACACAATCAATAATATTAGTTAATTTATAAAAAGTTTATTTGCTTTTAAATAATTAAATTTCATAACACTAACCATTTCATCAACAAATGAATATGAATTTTAAATCTTAAAATTAGATTACTGATCAATGTTATATTAACCTTTGCTTTCATTTTTATATTTTTCAAAAGAGGTTCAATAGGATGAAATACAGGGCGAGTTACATTGCCATGTGAGTACCGTTTCATTGGAGGACGATGGAAATTTCTTAAACGCATTTGTCCCATATGCGTTTGCACAAAAGGAGCTTTCAACTCAACAACAGGTGTTGAATGCTGTATTATATTACCACCACCAACTTTTAGGCGTAATGATGTTTCAGATGACCGTGGTTGATAATAACTGAAATCAAATTGCAATTATATTAAGTTTAATAACAAGAGGTTTTAAATAAAATACAAAAACTCTCTCTGTAATGTATATAAATACCAGTCATTAGAAACATTAAATGGATCTCTATCTGGAGACTTTGGTGGAGGCAATGGAGTATCTTCTTCTAGTACATTAATTACTCCAGCTTTGCCTAGCAATAATTTGGATTTTTTAACATGAGGATGTGGTATTTTTACTTTTACTGGTGTGGCATTATCCAGTCTTTGTTTTGCTGGGTCAACATCATCAGGAACACCTAATATGATATTTTCATCATTAGGATCTAACGTCAATATTTTTGGACGAGGTATTTTTTCCATATTTTGAGCATCCCAAATAATTTCATCTTCCCAAGTGCCATATACTAATTCTTCATTTTCTACTGGGAATATAGAATACCAGGTATCATCTGTAGTATCATTTATCGGCTGCTGCTTAGAATTCCTATAAAATAAAAAGTAAAAAATTGATTACTATTAAATGCATAGAAACAACGGTCATAATAATAATTATGAATAATATTATTCATTCTAAAAAAAAAAAAAAAAAAACTAATTTTATATTCATTAAGTTAAACAAGAAAAAATGTCAGATTCTTGTAGGATTTTCTAAGGCATTATAAAAAATTAATACTAAGGCCAATATTTACGGTAAGTTTTAATAATTTTTCCTCTTACTATTATACTGTAAAAAGTATATGTATTAGACAAACTTGAAATAAGTATAATAAGAACCTACATATTTGATTTTGGAGCCATTTTGTTTTGTGATTGTGATACATTTATGTTTGACGTAGCTAATCGAACAGATCCTCCAGCAAGTGGAAGCATTCCTTTTCCTGGCTGACTGAAAGCTTGAGCAGTACGGTTTGTACTACTTGGTACCCATCCAGCAGCATTTGTCTTGCTATTTAATTTTTGAAGAACTTTATGTTTTATATCTTCTCCATTCCATATTATATCATCTTCCCAATGTAATTGACTAACCATTAAATAAGCATCCTCTGGGTATGGATTATCGCTTGTATTAATTTCATCATCTTTGTTCTATAACAATATTTAATTAAATAAATGTAATTCCTATAATGTCTTAAATGTTTACTTACTTTATTATCTTTAAGTTTAAACCCGTAATCAAATTCTTCTCCATTTTCAGGAACTCCTAACATATCATACCACAATTTTGCTGGTCCACCTCTCCAGTATGCTTGATTATTTGAGCCATCATCATTTTCTAGTTTATTTTGATTGGTTTGTTTAGATAAATTTTCAATAGGTTGTAAAAATTTTTCCTACAAAATAAATATTTGAAAAAAATCCATAGCAGAATAATAGCTAATATAGGATTAAAATTTAACCTCATCATCACAAGCAATAAGTTCAAGTTCAGGCAATGAACCAAATTCAAGACACATAATTTGATTTTTGGAATCAGTATCAGAAGAATTGTAATCGACTGCATCACTATGTCTTCTTTTTTTACGTTTAACTTTAACATTTCGCCAAACTTTAGGTAATCGACTTGATTTGTTAGGCTTAAATAATCTTGAAAATCTTAGCACCTATGACAACATAATCAAAATGAAATAATCTAACAAGCAATTGAAATATTTTACTATAATATTACTTTGCCAACTCTAAAATCAGGAAATAACGTTGTTACATCGACATTTTCATATTTTGAAGGTAACATAGCAGCCAATGGTGTTTCTAGACGTTTAGATTTGTCAAACTTTTTATCATTTAACTCATTGTCACCATCATAACCACTTTCAGAATCCTGCGGTTTAGAACTAGTAGTGTCTTCAGCTAGTTCGTCTATATCAAAAAAATCTTGAGCGGTTGGTGATTTATCTGTAAGGTTATTTGTGTCATCGTGACCATTTTCAACACCTTTCAGTTCGGAAGAGCTAATCACATCCGACATCACTGAGCTAAAACCTAATTTGGACAGCGACGCTAAGTACTTTTTCGTGTCATTATCCAGTATATCATCATTTTCAAGTTGACCGCTTTCATCTATGTTCCCGAACATGAAACTTGTTAAATCAAAATCACATGATGCCTGATGGGCATCGGAACTGTCTTCGTTCATTTTTTTTTATTCTTTTCAAGCTTTATTCAAACGACAAGTAATCATTCTATCCATCAATAGTTATTTTAAATTAAGCAAACACAATTATTTTAACAAGTAACTAGCGCGAATTTTTATTTTTTACGTACATTATTATGGTTACAGATTACGATTAAATAACAAAACACTGATTACAGAGAGTGAGTTTGACAGTCTTAACGGCAGATCTTTTGCCCTTTGAATCTTTACAAATACTGGCAACACTGTACTAAAATTTATGTTGATAACAGATTGTGTCGAACAGAGGGAAACCGAGAAAATAACAAAACAATGTCAAAATGATGAATATTTTCTAATTAAAATCAAAAAAAAAAAAAATAACTGCCAATTACATTTACTCAATTTTGGTTTTATAGTTACATATATCCATTAATTTTATAAGTACCTAATTTCTCATTATTTTTTTTCTTTTATAATGGCGTTAAATACACATAATATGTATGTGTCCTGTATTAAAGTATTTGGCGTTCCAATCGTTCCGCCACTCGTAAGTATATTCTTTAGTCATTAATCTTATTTTATTTTGATTATAATAAAATATTTATATCAATTTCGTATACCAAACAATTTTATGTTTAGAAATTATAATTTTTATAACATCTAATTTAGTTTCTTCAAATATTTTTATAAATAATTACGTTTCATGTTAGATGTTTAATTTTAACTTATAGTATCTGAAGGATTCATAACAATAAACTACTTATTGAATATACTTTATAGTAGTTATAATCCATAATTTAATTATATTGCCTATTGTCGAAGAGATATTATGTATTTATTAAATATATTTGCATCAAATTTTATGTGAAGGTAAACAATTTCCTATATATCAAGGATGGGCAGCTGTAAGATTATGGAAGGTCTGTTTTGAAACCTTTAAGATGTAGAAGACTGGAAAGCAAAAAAATAAAACTAAGATTGAGCTATATTATGTATATGACTAAACTTCTATAAATAAATTGAGTATTGGTTATAGTAGATGTATTTAATAATCAAATTATTTATGAGTGTTTGGCTGCTTATAAAAATTAATACCAACTTTTTTTTTGACACCACAAGCCATAATGGCTTTTTACTGCTTACACAAGTTTTCTCCAATCATCGGCATCGTCAATTGTTTTTAAATTTAATTGTTCTTAGGTTTTCCAAATCTGTTTACTCTATCTAATCAACATTGATGGTGTCTGTCTATTAGTATTTCCGTTGGGTTTGCAGATTAAGACCTTATATATTAATTTGTCCTTTGCCTGCCATACATGGCTCATTTTAGTCTTTGAGCTTTCAAACATTTTTGTATATTTGTTGAACATTTTTTAGATAATTTCATGTTTTCTACTTTAGTAATTTCGTGATGCTGGTTTTAGTATGGGACCATACATTTTTCTTAGAATTTTTCTTTCAAATTTTAAGAATTTTTGTTCCTTAATATATTTACATTTTACAGAAAATGTTAATAGATTGTATTAGGAAATATAGAATTATGAATAGATGTGCAATGTTTTCTTAGTATTTTATTGTATTATTTTTATTTTTAAACTTAAGAATATAATTTTTAAAAGGCAATATGGGCCACCAGTTGACCATCTCTGATATATATTTTTATTAATCTTAAAAACTCATGACAGGTTGTGTTATGTAAGATATTGAATCATTGTTTGTGATTAAATTAGCAGTTTTTAAATCGTTAAATAATAATTAAATAATTCACACTACTAACTGAAACTTAGGTGACTGGAAAAACTTTGAAGCCATAATGTTTGGGTAAAAAATAAGTAAATAAATTATTTTTCTTAACTTTAAATTCTATACCACCCCATTTTGTTAACAAATAAAATTTTCAATGACCTATTTTTAACTTTATTATGAAAATATATATTGCATCTGGATGTTACTTCTGGGTAGCTACTCTATTCCAAATCTTATGTTACATATATTCTTCTAACAGTTTTTTTCTGGCTTTGTTATTAAAATATTAAAATTGACTTTTTATAATTTAGATGACAGCTGAAAAAAGACAAGAAATGAAAGAATACAAAGAAAAGGCTTTGGCTTATGAACAAAAACTCAAGGGGAAAAGAATAAGTTTGGATAGCGGTGTAATGACTGGTAGTACTGAAATGCAAAAACTTGAGAACTATGAATCACCTACCAACGTTATAAAAGAACTGATTTGTAGTGATATGAATAGTTCTGACATAATTACAATTCAGAATACAATAAAAACTGATAGTTCTATTTCTCCAGAAACACCAACATTGATATTTGAAAAAGAGCATAACTCAGTTGAAAGTTCTTCTGATAAAGAGTCAATAAATATAAAGTCTGAAAATACAAGTTTAGTTGAAACTTTGTGTGATACTTCTATTACAAAACCAGAATTAGAGCATAAATCAACTGTGACTAATTCAACTATTTACAATGATGATAATTTAAATAATAGTTCTGATAATAAGTCAATTAGTATAAAGTCTGCAAATATTAGCTTAGTTGTTACACCAGTTCCAAAAAATAAATCAACCTTTTTAAATATAACTAATTTAAGTATTCCTGATGATGGAAGTAATACAACAGCAGAACAAATACCGCGTTTAAGAAGTAATTCATATACTTTATCTTCACCAAGTCCTGTAATGGTAGCATTTTTAAATAGCCAAGTTCAACAACAATTAATAGAACCAAAAAATATAAAAAATAATATTGATTCTACTAAAGAAAGTAAATCTGAGCCAGTTTTTACAAGCAATGAATATAATAAGAAAGTATTAAAAACTAAAAGTATTTCACTTCATTCTATCACTAAACCACTTCAGAACCAACAATTAGTGGATAATTTTGTTAAACATAAGCAACTAAATTTAATCGATAAACAAACAGACAATGATATTTCATCTGTTCAGAAACAAGATGATACAAAAATTGAAGGAAATATTGTTTCAATTTCTGATGGTTATATAAATCACAATAGTGTAAGTGAAAGTCCATGTAAATCCATGAAACACTGTTGTTGCAGCCATAGTGATGATGAATATTCTTTAAGCAGTCTACATTACAAAACAACTGAAGAATTAAATTTAGAGGCTGAGCATTTACGAAGAGCAAAATTAGAGATAGAAAGGAGGCATCAAGAAGAATTGGCCAATTTAATAAAAAAACAAAGGGAAGAGCAAGAACAAATTGCTGTTAGATACTATTTAGTAATGCAAAGTACTTCGGAAACATCTATGGATGATTCTCATTATTCAAATTCTTTTTCAAAGCAATTAAAAACTTGTTCGTCAATTCAGTCTGAAATGACTGTCACTAATGATAAAAGCTTATTGTCTGATACTTCATCAATTATTTCTAATTGTTCGATTAATACAAATGTAGCTTGTTCATCTCCTAGACAAAAAACACTAAGTCGCTCCTCTCCAAATTTGCAGCAAAATATTAAATTCTATCACAGAATGCGTGGTGGTTTAGTAAAATGGACCAAAGCTCCTACTGAAGTAGAAAACTCTGCAGCAACTATTATAAACGCTGGTGTTAGAGGTTATCTGACCAGACGATTACTACGAACTGAAAAAGCTCAAATGTTAAAAAAGACTATTTTAGATTCATTGAAAACAGCCCTTTTAATGCATAGAGAATTGAAGAAACAACAGCCTACTGAATCTGATCTTGAACTTCATCGAAGAATCATTAATCAGGTATTTATATTAAATATAAATACTCATGTTTGAAAAAAATAATTAAAGATTTTTATTTTTAATTAGCTTACTACAGCTTGTTATGACTTGAATGATTTAATTTTGGGATCTGTACATGAACAAATGACTATTATCAGAAATGATCGTGAACGATTAAAAGCTGTAAAAATGCGAAAGAAATCAAGTTCAACTTTGGTCAAAAAGTCAACCTCAACATTAAAACAGTAAGTTTTATAAATATATATATATATATATATATATATATATATATATATATATATATATTTACCTAAAAGTAAATTAATAAAATTAATAACTGATAAGTAACTATTAATAATTAATTTTTTGTATAGGCCTAAGAAATCTGCATCAAGTTATTCACTATCAAGAAAAGAATCAAGTAATTATTCTGATAAAAGTTCCTATAAGAGATAATAATATTATATAAGTAAAAATAAAATATTTATGATTCTTTTTTTTATTTCTTTTTTATTATTTTGCTATTTTTTTTTTAAAAAAAATTTGATAGTAGCACAGTAATTATTTTATGAAACATTCTCATTAGTTTTAAGATTTGTACCAAAAACACTGTCCTAGTTTTGGTTATTGTATACATTAAGATAATTTATTATATTATGTTATTGTTTTTTTTATCACCAGCACCAGTTTTTATATTTTATATTGAAATTTATTATTAGTTAAAAAATAATATTAAGTTTAAGTAAAACACTGAATAAAGGAATATTATTAGTTAAACTACTTAATTATTTAACTGTTGTTTAAAAATCTTTTATAAGAGGTTCTGGATAATAAATAATAAAGTGAACTGAAATATATAGTGTGTTTTTCAATTAGCCTGAAGTTTGCAATCGATGGAATAAATATTTTTGAGAATAAAATAAATACTAAGTTCATGGACTTGCTCTCGAGACATATGCAAATAGTACATTAATACCAGTCAGTATTTTGGTTATAAATGTGATATCTATGCTTACTGACATTTTTAATAGGTAACACTTGTCAAATCAAAAATTGTTATCTTGTTACATTTCATGCTTCCATAGAATATATGAAATTTCATATATTCTGTGATATTAGTATACTAGTAATAATTATTTCAAAGTAAAGACTAATTAAATTAATAAATATAAAATTTATATTTTTAATTTTGTAAATGTTCAATAGGAAAGGAGTAAAAATATATACTAGTATTAGCAATATTGTGAAATTTATAAGTTCAAAAACTTTCAAATTCAAAGTAAAATAATATTTTATTGTATTGTTTAAAACGTCAAATGAAACCAGTGATTTTCTGCACTTAAGCTCACGAAGACGCTAGTCCATTACATTTAGTATTGATAATTACTAATTATATATGATGTTATAATTATATAATTTATTTTGGGTCCCTTGATATCATTTAAAGGGCGTTAACCTGTTAATAATCTTGTCATCCGAATTATACAAGTGATCCGAATCCAATTCACCTGCGCAGGTTGTATACTATGGTACATATATGCCTATGTATTTTATTTTAAACAGCCAATAGTGTTACTTGCATTCATTTATTTATATCATCAGCAACTAATAATGAAATAAACGTATGTTTGTTGCCTAATTGAAACCCCTTAAAAAGCGTAGGATGTAATAGATATCGCAAAGGTCAGGTATGTCAAACTAAGAATGTTAACTGGGCCGAAAATATTAAACAGGATACTATGCAGGTCACACAAAAATATTATTTAAAACAAATATACCGGCGGGTGTCCTTTACATAATTATTTTATTATAAGGATTTGACATGGCTGGTGTTGTTGCTAAACATTGATTCTATGATAATGATATTAAATACCATTTTGTTATAAAATAATTGGTTTGTTCGTGTCGATATGCTGTAAGCCTGTAACTATTGATTTGTAATTAAATTTTGTAGTACCATCAGACACTGGTTGTTATAAATACCCGTGAAATACTAATTGTAGGAATATTATTTGTTTTAATATTTCTAATTAATCGTAAAATATTAACAATAGTAATTCGTTTCGTCACTGACATTAAATAAAGAGAGTAGAGTGGTTGTTCTATACATTTTTCTTTTCGAATGTTTTTTCTTTTAAATTACACATTAACGTACTAAATATTTACGAGTAATAGCTTTTGTATTGATTATTTTTACTTTTTTAGCTTTACTGCTGCCAAAAATAATGCTGTACACGCAAGGGCTTATTAGCGATTGATTTTAGACACCACTAGAGTACCTACTATATATATATATATATATATTTTTTTTTGTAGACAATCACGCTACGTCGATACTACGTATACAGTACCTGTGTGAATATTTGACACCCTGAGTTCGAATATTGAACTATGGTTTTCACATCGTTTGCGGAAATATGATATATTTATACCTATGGCATATCAAAATTCCAAAAATAATAAAATCAACAACGAAAACTAATTCAAGTTAATTATTTTCAGAAAATAATCGTGGACTCGTGATGACTTACATATTTAATGACTAAAAGCGCCTAAATTTGATTTAGTTTAAAATTGTATTATTTATAAAATAATTTTTTATCCGCGGTTTGATTTTTGGGGAAAACGTAGTAAGTAGGTACCTAAATTCTATCCCTTATGTTTTTTTTAATAAATACATTCTGTATTTATATGTGCACATGTGTAAGCCTTATACATCGTATCTAGTATTTGTATGTAACACATACAATTAATATAACCACAGATTATATTTAACTTTGGTATAATTTGTGATATTATTACGTAACTAAAAATTTTATACTTGATAATTTTATGTATTTTTCATTTTCTCACGTTTCAAGTAATTCGTATTTTATTTTTAATCCTATCGATTTTGCGGAGTATCACACAGGCTTTGAAATATAATACTCTGTTATTATTATTAATACATTCACTCAATGACACTTTTTGGGCGTTGCCTAATTAACTAGTGCTTAAAATGCAGTGGTGTATTGTTTGCTTAATGACAAAACAGTAACAATTAAACAATATACAAGTATTTGATACTTAACAATACATCTGTATTCAGTGTACACAACGGTATGCTGTTTATCAACACGAGATTTGCAATTTACCGTCGAACCACGGACTACCTACATTTTAAAAAAAACCTATAGCAAAATATACCAGTTCTAAGTGAGTCTTTTGTTGTGTTGGTCATCTTCATTTGTAAACATTTAAAAGTAATGGTAAATCATTACATTTGAATAATGATTTTGAGAAAAGGTCAGCATAATATAATATTACATCTATATGCAAATGTATTACGCAATAAAAAAAAATAATATAATAATAATATCATTGTAATCGTTTATAATTATACTAAAATTACTAGTATTAAATAATAGAATCGAGTAGGCACTTATTGCTTAAAAATATATTTTTTCTTTTAAAAAGTATTTGAACATAAGCTGCGATTAAAATTATAAAAAAATAATTCATAAGAATAATTTGTTATATCGCGTTTCGATTAAAACATTTCAAAGGAATAATAAAAAAAATAAATAAACTTATCAATAATATTAACAGGTATAAAGTAAAACGCGCGATTGCATCAAATCGGAAGAATACTCTCGAAGACTATAATAATAATCAGTTTCAGATTAAGGTGGGGGGAAGGGGGGAAGCTGTCCCGGGCGGCAGTTTTTTTACGGCGTAAACAAAAATTTTGAAATTTACGAAACGTGAGCCGTTGAACAGGTTCATCACCGTACGGAACGCAACGATTTCATTCTTGAAACGGCCCCCCTTGCACTGATTACGGAGGTATCGGTCTAGATGTCGAATCTCATCGGATGCAATCGCCGAGATCGCGTAATAAACAGGTGCGGGAAACTATGTTTGGGCCAGGGGTTAGGGCGCCATTTCAGTTTTTTTTTAAGGGTGTGCAAGCAATTAAATAGGGCAAATTTTTCTCACCATCAGGCCAACATTTATGATTAGCAGTGATTACTGATTAGCCACGGTGCATGCATAATATTAAAGATTGGAAAACTGAAGGCCGAGGCGGCAAGACATGTATCGGTGACGTCTTGGCCAATAGTCAATAATTGAAGATGAAAAAAATGCAGGGCATGCGAGTACACACCCTGCTCCCCCCCAAATTGCACCCCTGGTTGGGGCCCGGGGCGATTTACGGAAAAAATATCGTATACTTTTCCATATCCGACAGTCACGGCTGGACATGTCGAATGGAATCGTCCGGACGGTGCGTGCACTAATGACGGAATCCGAATCGGGCTCGCCGAAGTTTGAGAACCCGGGCTTACGGGATTCGAAATTGGGATTTCACTCAGAATTCGGATCTCGGAGAGTCGAGTTTGCGTTATTATTGCGTACGACTTGCAACGCAGTTCCGATGACTACGCGCGTATTTTGCAACGCGTCGACGTTTTAAACCACGGTCGCGCAGCGTTAACACCCGAAATGCGGATTCGATTCGCACCACTGGTGCACGCACAATCCGCCCGTCGCGTTTTACCCGCGACGCGTGCACCTCGTTACGAAACGCGTGCGTTTGCGTTACGGAAACGTTTCACGCGGTGTACGTGGCGGCCCGAGCGATGTTGACGTGCACGGCAAGCGTTGCGGCACGTTCGCGATGTCCGCGCGTCGTGCGGGTGGTGCACACGATCCCGGATCGGCGGTCCGCGGCCACGTCTTCGACACCGCGTCAGCAGTGCGTCGGCGGCGGGACGCGCGCGAAGTACTTGAGACTGCCGAAGTACAACGAGCCGCCCGCCACGCGCACCTTGTCCCAATCGCTCAGCGACGCTCTCCTCGGGTACGTCGGGCACGATTGGATCGCGGTGGCCACGCTTCGGTACACGTCGGTGGCCACCAGCACGGGCCCCCGCACTTCGTACGGCAGCTGACCGATGCCCTCCAGCGACTCCAGCCGGTACCGGTCGGCCAGCTCGATCATGCGCACCGCGTACGCCTTCAGCTTGTCCGCGCCCAGCGACCACGGGTCCTTGTCCACGCACAGCGTTTTCGTCTCGGCCGCCCTGTCGTCCATGTACTCGGCCGGCACGTAGCACCGGCCCAACGTTTCGCTGTCCGTCACTATGTCCCGCGAGATGTTGACGATTTGGAGCACCTGCAAAAGCCAACACCGTTATGCACCGATCCGAAGCCGTACTCGGTTCCGTAAGATTCGAAAAGCACGTCCTGCGTGCACGCGGAAAATATAAATCTTTAAACATGCCGTCACTGGGTGTCGGTAAAAATGGTTCGTACCACAGAAAATGACCAATTACTAAAAAAGTGGCGGATCCCGGAGGTGGGCCTAGAGGCCTGGGCCCACTCCCCCGGACTGAAATATATTTGATATATTGTATACAGGAGCGTACTTGTAGGGGGTAGGATCAGGGTTCGAGGTCGGTACTTTTATAATAGTTACAATTAGGAAATAATGCACGATTATTAATGTCATTAAAATTAAATTATATTTTAATTAGCACAAAACGCAAATTTGTTTTAATGCGATCATAAATATATATTATATTATAAAATAATAATATTATATATATATATATATATTATAATATATTATTATATTTATATTTAGTTAAAAAAAATCAAAAATCATATCTATATATTTAGTTATGATTTTTGTCTAATTATGTTGATACAATGATTCGGTCTATGATGGACTGAAATAATTGAAAGTAGATTAATGTACATATTCGTACATTTATTTATACATGGCTAAATTATTGAACGCATAAAAAAAGCTGAAGTGTTTGCTATTATATTCGATGAAATTACTGACATTGTCATAAGTTGAACTCAATAAGATGTGTAGGTATATTAAGGGAAAATCTAAGAACGATTCATTCAATTAGTTGATGTCTATAAATCTATTAATGCAGTGGCATAGCTAGGATTTTTAAATGGGAGGGGATAAACACTTTTTTGCACAGGTTAAGTCAGAAAGGATTTTATAGTTCACCCTTCCCTCTTCCTGCCACCAAGTTTGTAAATGCATTTCCAGGATTTTAAAATGCTTTTAATAATATTTATTAAAATATATAATTTAAAAAAATAATAAATTAACAGTGGCCAGTTGTGGTAGCATCGCTGTGACATGATATAAAGACTAAAGTGATTATACTCGTAAAATGATAGTGTTACACGAGAATCGTCAACAATCTTAATGACAATCAAGTAGAAGTATACGCCCATGTGCCAAAGATAAAACCCGTTATTTGTAAACATTTAGTTTGTACCAAAGTAATAAAATACTTAAGTTACGGTATACTGGAATAGTACATGCACATAAACACGAACCAAGAGGGGAAGGCTATAGCCCCCTTAGGCCTCTTCCTCGGCTACGCTATTGCATTAATGTGGATGATATTATATCTGTAGGGTCAAGACTAACAGAACTTGCTATTGAACATAGTGTATTAGATATTTTAAAAGACCTTGAACTCGATTTGAAATTTTGTGCAGGCGTAGGAATTGCTGAATGCAAGGTAATATCTTACATGTTACATACGTATCCAGTATGTAAATGTTTTAAGTGGTTATTATTAAGAGTTCACGTACGCGCAGTGCAGTACTGAATAAATTATGAACATCGCGGGTAATGGCACGATTCCCGAAGTTCCGGCATTTACGTCCGAACGCTTAGAAATGGGTGGCAGAGCAAACTCTAACGTGGTTGGCAAAACAACAAAACGATTGTTAAAAAAAAATCATTGATTTATAGCTTTATCCGATCTCAAATGGCGGGGCTGCGAATGACGACTTGAGGATTGAACGATTTCTTCAAACGCGAACGGGAAATCAATCTTCAGCAGATACAACGGCGGTTGTTAATAGTTAAATTGCGATGAAACCTTGCAGTGACAACCGATAACGTTGAACGAATACTACAATATTTTGATCTTAAGCATGGACTTATAACCATATAGGGATAGTTCGATTCGACATCAATCAACATGTTAGTTATCGATTGTTGGAATCTATCAATACTATTAATAATAAATGTAACACGAGTACACGCTATAGTGTATTAAAATCTCTTAAAAAGTAAGTTTTGATAAAATAAAACACCCACGAATGAAATTGGAAAATGTACGACACGATCATCACTAATCACCTCCTCGACGGTTTCGGATTTACCATCAGAATCTTTTAGTTATTGAAAAAGTTCACGCGCGAACGCATTTCTAACTCACCTGTCCCATTTTTTGCGCTTTTCCGATTATGTAATCGCGTATGTCTTCGGTGAGCGACACGCCGCTCTTGTACAACATGACGTACACGCAGAGCGTGCCCACGCTACCGGCAACGTAGCTGGAGTACAGCAGCAGGTCACTCTCGTTCTCGACGCTTTTGCCGGCCACGTCCCACCTGTAGCCTTCGAGCAGCTCGTAGAACGGCTTCCGCGGCATGTAAAACGATATCCGCGATATGGCCCGGAAACACGACAGCTCCTCGTCGCTCAGCTCCTGGCGGTAATGCGCCCAGTCGATATTCGGTTCCCGCACCGTCGCCGTGCTCACGCCGTAGTCCGAGTCTCGGTCCGCGAACATCTCTACGATGAACCGATCGATCACCATCAGTTTGTGTTTCTTTTTGTTGGCTGCCGGTTCGTTGTCGATCATGTCGTCCGTCACGCGACAAAATGCGTACAACATTATCAAATGCAAACGGATTCCTGTAACACGCACAGGCGCAATAGTATTTTGTGTTATAGTTTACGCTATAACTCGCAATGCATTTGGGGAAGAACACTACGCGCAGCATGGCGCTGTGCGAATCAATTATTTACACCGTGTATTTCTATTGTAATTCGATGTACGCACGCAGTGGCGTAGCGAAGGTATGGCAAAACTGTACCTACGCCAGGGGCGCAAATTGAAAAGGGCCGCAAAATTGTGCAAAAGTTGTATTTTTATCCTACAGTTAAATCGACATTTTTCGACATAGAAATTATATTTATAATCAATGTTAATGTGTCTATGTACTACATGTTATCAGTTTTGAACAGTTTTTTAATAATCTACTAGCAGTTTAAATCTATAAAAATTACCAATTATGTGGTATAATTCAAAACTTTCATTGTCCGAAATTTTTTTAGTTCAAATGGTTCGTTCGCTCTATAAAATTATATTTTCTTTTCGGTTTAATAGGAAAAGAAAATTAGAATAAGTCATTTGGTCAATAAACTATTACAGTCCGAAATGTATTATTTCGGACTGGCAGACCGGACTGGTCTCAATCCACTTTAACTAATTATTTTAAAGTTTTAGTCTGGTCCGGTTAAAAAAAAAAACAAAATAGTAATCGATTAGGTCCGACTTCGATGCTTTATTAACGTTTTCGGTTCGGTTCCTAAAATTACGGACCGTGCAGAGCACTAACGCACATACAGGTACGTACATTTTTATTGGACGTAGAGTGGTCTGTATTGGATAAGCTTCTTCAAGTGGATAAGTTCCGTTGTTTATTATATTTGAATTAATCAGTGAATAAGATATAAGGATCTAGTTTAATGTAGATTACGTGTTGTGACGATATCACCCCTTCCTCACCCAGTAATAAAACAACTCTGGGTTCGCAAGATAGCGCACGTGGATGTAGTATTATACACTTACCTGCTGGGAAGACTAGACTGGCGACGTTAAACGATTTCGATGCTCTTCTGAGTACGTTTAAACAATGTCGAATATCGTTGACCGGAATCGGAGACATATCGCTCTCGGCCGTCGCGAACGCTTGAAACTGCTGACGTTTATACTTCCAGCTTATGCTGAAACTCAGTGGAAATTCGATCGCGTACATGTCCGCAAGCCCATAAGATTTGTCAAAGGCCATGCTGCCCAAGACGATTATCACGTTGGTGATTAGGAAAAACAGGCATTCTTCGAACGGCAAATCTTCTGCGAGAAATATGTTCAACGATGTTTTCTCGTTAATGTGCCATACGTTGTTTTTTAACGCTATTTGATCGACCCAGCACAAGTATAAGGTAGGAACGATTACCGCGATCGCCGTCGACGTTGACTTTTTAACAAAGTAGTTACCGGCGCCGAACCATAGAAATATAATGACCGGACAAGACCACCACAGTATACATCCCAAGTAAAAGGTGTGTTTACCGGGAACTGCCATGTTCCAACCTTGGACCGCGGTTATTACTAAGAGCGATATCGGTATCCATCGAATCAATCGGTAGCTATTCTTATTGTAGTTAAAGTTAAAACAACTGGGAGACCATCGGGTGCAAATTAAAGCCCAGAGTGATGTCATTACGGTTTGTATGACGAAAAACATGTACTCCTCGACCGGAACATATCCTATAACGCTCAAAATATTTTCAGGCTTGTACATCCAGGCGTTGTGGAAAATTATATAGTTATCCCATGGAGTAGTGTAGATAAAAGCCATTGCACAAACGAATATGATCTTGAACAATTCTAAACGACTCACAAACGGCCATGTTATCAACGACAATGTCGCGATGACTGGTAACGTATAGATTAAATGAACATCTATGTAAGTCAACATTTTTCAATTTGTATCTGGAAAAACTGAAACATACGTGTAATATAAATATATATATGTACAAAAGGTTATTCGTTGATTAAAATTAAATAATCAAATAGTTATGGCACATTTGATTAGTATGACTGATACTAATTAAAAGAGTCATTACTAAGAATCACGCACGATATTCATTTTTTTTTGCTCATAAGCTATTCAAGTATTCATAGGAGGGGTCATTAAATTACCGATACCTTATGGGTATTATTAACATACAATGTGACTGAAAATCAAAATTTCAATAACATAATATAAATTATTGTATTACCATATTTTTTATAAATACTGTATATATCTAATACTGACTAATAATTGTAACTAGATATTGTATTTAATTTTATTCAAATTACTTAAATGTATTTATTTTGTTTTAAATTTTGTATTATTTACTTAAAAAATCTAGAATTTCATTTTTAGTAAGCAAGTTTTAGAAATTATTTTAAAGATAGGAGAAAATTAATTAATAAAACAATTACATTTATAATAATCTAACCAATACGTACATTATTCTATATTTATTTAAATATGCATTTTTTTTATATAAGTATAATTTTCAAATAATGTTCGGTATTAATTTCATTAATATATTTATTAATATCATTATCTACATAAAATCTATTTATTTATATCAAATATGAGATAAATATAATTAACTATTATGACTAATATTTAAAATTTGGAATTATAAAAAAAAATATATTATTCTGATTATTTAATCTATCACAAAGTCATGAATAGAATGTTTGTAATTAAATTTACAATAATTGATTAATAATAATATGTGTTTAAAAATTAACTCACATAAAATGTATTATAAATAAATTGTAAATAATTTATTACTACATAATATGTAAAATTCATGATGTCGATATGCACATACATTTTATTAATATTATATTTTTTAAAAAATAAAAGAACGCATTAAAAATTATTATTAATTAGTAATAATTAAAAATAATTTATTAGTAATGACTATCTTATTTTGAAGGAAATATAATGTTAACAAATTAGTTCCTATTTCAATTTATCATTCAAATATTTTTTAGAGTATTAGTTAAACAATAATTTTAAATATATTAAGTATTTTTTCATTTATATTTAAATGTATAGGCATAAAGTGGAGATGAGAGGGTAACTTCTTACTCTAAATATTTAATGAGGTAATACGCTCTTGGTATTTTATAAATTAATTAAAAAAATATTATAGAAAAGGTATTTTAGATTTGTAAAAATTATTTTACCTATAAAAGTATACTTTTTTGAATTATTATTTATAAAATAAAAATTAATGGATTAATAAAAATGTAATTGTTCATTGGAATTTGTCATCACAATATATCACGATCAGGTTTAGACTAGCTCTATAGCACGGCCCGGGCAAAATAATTTTGAACGGCTTCAATGGAACTTTATAAGTAGTTACCTAATCAAATTATTGTTTAACTGAAAATGTATCTTCGTAATTCCAAAAACAATATACACATAGATATATTTGAATATTTTCAGATTTAATGTTATACCTTAAATAAATCAAGTTTATGCATAATATATGTCATATGTAATATTGATAATATAACCTGCATATTAAGATGAATTTTACAGCGTAAAAAAATAATTTGATTTAAATAGGTTTATACATTTAATTTTAATTAAATTAGAACAGTGGTTGGCAATTTGCAGTCCACAAATATCTTTTATACGTCCCGCATTAAATTGCATAACTAACAAATGTCATTGAATATCATATACATTTTTTGTATTGTCTGGCCCGTTTAATTTGTGAATATTGGTCCATAAATGTTGCCGACCACTGTGTTAGAATATATTTTTTTTACTAAAATAATTGCTTACCGGTAATAATTGATTTGAAGTTAACAGAAAGGTTGGATACTAGGCATAGGCTTGTTATTGACTAACCGTCTAAACTATGGCAAGTTTTTATATTAAAGTCTAATAAATCACATAAAAATTATTACTATCAAAAAACAATTTACTTATCGCATATCTTGAACGTCCGTGTTTACTCATACCAACATTTTCTTTTGGTTAAATGTTGCTTGAACGGTACGTCGTATAATTAACATATTGTTCATATATTTTGTACTGAAATTTCCTAAGTTCTATTGATATATATTGTGACGAAATTATTGTTATCAATCGACCTATCATGACATTAAGTATATCTAATCTTTAAGTATAAGGTAAATCAACATAAAATAAAGTTTGCCTCCTCATAAAAATTGCTCAAGTTACGCCCATGCCTAAATCTAACTGAAATCATATGTAATAACTGATTTATACGAAAAAAGAGTACAAACATCATTTCTAATAACGAAAATAAAGTATATAGTTAAGTTTTGGCGGGTCTTTTTCATTATTTGCTATACAATTTTTCATGTGGTGAATCGAGATTTTAGGCTCACATATAAATCACATTTAATTTCTATTTCTTATAATAATACTTTGAAAAATATCGCAACTCGAAAAAAAGAAACTCAGATATTATTTTACAAGTTAAAAAATAATATTTAGAATCTAAATTTTAAAAATAACACGAAATCAATTTTAATCTCTATTTTTTCTTTTCCCGTGATAAAACTTTCGGGTTGTGATACTTTACTTAAAAGCTCATCCGAAATGAGATCAGACCGGGATGACATTTTTTTACAAGTTATTTTTTGATTTTATCAATAGTTCTTCCGATATAAGCAAAAAGAAACCTATAATATAAAAAACATACATCGTTTCTATTTAATTGGATAAAACCATTAATTTACGGACTCGATTCTTTTACATACAAGGCAAATTCTATCGCTTTTTTTTTATTTTTTCTTATGTGAAATGTGGACGAGACGTAGTGTTATGTAATACAATTATATAACAATATTATATAATCGTCTACTCATCGGAAGAAAATAAAATCTTAAATGTTTTTAGCCAATATATTTAACACTGATTAATTATTATCATCTGAAATTGTTATAGGTATATTATGTTATAATAAATATATTATATTTAACTTTATTGATAAATTGAAAAAATTGTTCTGTTAAGTGTTTTCACTTATACACTTTTATTCCTTTTGACTTTATATACATTATACAATAAAGGAAATTGTTGTAAAATGAATCTTTAATGTCAATATTGTATAAATATAATAAAAAATCGATGTTTTTGTACCAATAGTAACTACAGTAAACGAAAAATACTTAGGTTATTAGTCAACATATATGTGTAATATACATAATATAATAAGCAATAGACAAACATTGCAGTGTAAATAATCTATACAGACTAAATAATTTAGACAATTATTGTCCTTATTAAAATAATAATTTATATTATTATTTATATTTTTTTTAACAATAATAAATAAAATTAACATAACACAACGATATTTTATATGCATTCCATAATTATCTTATAATTGAAATATTATATATATATATATTGATTAAATACATATTTTTAGACCTTAAATAGCTGTTTATCATGTAAATTTTAATTTAATAATAATATTGGATTTTTAAAATATAGTTACTATGTTTTTAGAATTAATGAAAAATATATTTTTTGGAGTTAACGTTTTAGTAGAAGATTTAGCTATATTTTAAATTGCTCGACAAAAACTTCTTGTATCAATTCTTTAAATTATATTTAATTGAATCAATATTTTTGACTTAAACTTCATTTTCAGAGATCTTCACATATGTACTAAAATAAATGTTTATTAAAAAAACTTATATTGCAAAATATTTTCTAAAATAAAACATTACTTGCTGTGTTTAAATTAAATATTTAAAAATTAGAAGACACACTTTAACCAGCATTATCACAATTAATAATTTTATTATTGTTACTTGTTATATAATATAATAATTTATTATAATTATGAGTTATATAATATTTATGTACAAAGAAAATAATTATTTCAATTTATTTTAAATCCTTAAAATAGTATTAAAGTACGGCACGAGATTATTTAATAACAGTAAAAAATCTGTTTATTGAACTTTGTATTTATAACTCGAACAATATTTTAAAACATTTATTATAAATTCATCGATAGTGTGGAGTTGATTAAATTAGTTGGAATGAAACGTAACTGTAACAGGTTGAATTATTAACCAGCCCGGTATACAACCATCTAGCCATTCCAGATTAAATTGTTAAAATTTTTTCTTATATACCATCGTATTTTAATTTCAAATACTTATTCAAACTACTATTGAATTTAAGGTATGTATTTTCAAGTTCATATTTAAATTATACTTAATTTATGGAATTCATTGAATTGTATTTTTAATTGAACACAGCTAATCCAAACATTTTATTTTGATAAATTTTAATATTATATTTATCATATTATTATAACTTCATTATAGCTATTAGTTATCTAGTACGTCTACAGGTATTTAAAAAAGAACGATATATTTATTACAATTCAAAATAATTATGTTTTTATTAAAAACTTAAAAAAATAAATAATTTAATGAGTTTGAATAACAATACACCTGTTAATAGGTATATAGAACGTAACTATTCTACTTTTAAATAATTTATTCATAAATCGATTTATTATTAATTTAGGTTTGGAATACTGGTATAGGTAGGTATATTTAAATAAAACCAAGAAGATATGATATACATATAAAAAAAAAAATCAGTATAAAGTGCATTTAATAGTTTTTGCCGTAAAATATATTAAAAGAGGGTGTTTTATTGAATGTTTTTGTGTTGTGACACTTAAAGTTTATTTGTAATCTCGAAAAATTTTCTATATATTCGCTTGAACTTAGATATAATTTAATTTTTATTTAATTATAAAACTAATAACTATTAATAATTGAATAATGATTTTAAACACAGTATTTGTGAGGGATTTATTTTTTATTTTTTCAGAGTGTTTGGTCTGTACTGTATAGTCAGATAGGTATATTTTACTGATTATTATTATTAATTACATATCATTAATATTCACACAATAATTAAAGTACTCATAAAAAAACCTCGTTATAATAAGACTTATAAATATTAGTGATGGGAAAAATCCGGATTTGTAGAAGTTTGAAAATCCAGATTTTCGGAATTCAAAATCTGATATCCGGATTCTGAAATCTGGAAATCCAAAAATCCTAAACTAACAGCAAACAAACAATAAATAAACTAACAACATCTAACAATAAATATCTTAATTATATACTTAATATATTTTATTAACATAATATAATTATTTAAATATTGATGACAAATTTTAAAATTAGAAAAGTTTTATATATATTGTACTAGAATAAGTTAACTAGGTATTTATTAGATTAGTTAGTAAAATTAGTTAGTGAAATAGTATTGGTTTTATACAAAAAATTTAATGCTCTGATTAGAATTCTATATGAAATTTGGATTCTAAAGTCTAAAAATTTAAGATTTAGATTTCAAAATCCGAAAATCCAAAATCCGGTTTTTTTGATTTTCAGATAATCTGGATTAATTTCATATCAGTAATAAATATATTATTTATACCTACCTAACACTATATATCGTATTATATAATATAATTTAAATGTTATCATAGATTCTCTAGGCAAGCTTTCAGTTTACTCGAAATCGGATGATATACGATGATATACTCGTATAATCTACTTAATTATCAATTTACAAAATAATTAAAATGTTACATAAATGTGTAACTTTGTATGTTTTTATTTACTATTTTTTTCACAGAAATTAAATCCTATTTTAATAGAAGCTCAACTTAAGAGGGCGTTTATTATTATATGGGCGTATAATTTACTACATTTGATCTACTGAATTCAATCTTACTATTTTGTACGTATATCAGGCGGCGATAATACACGAGGGTGTGGCGTTCTCTTAATACGCTATTATATAAATGATAATTAAATGTAATTTCATTGATTTTCTTAAAATCGTTTTCGATTAGAATATTTTCTGGAGGACGTCGATTTTCTATTAATGAACTTAATTATTATTTCTGTCTTATCTTCATACATTGATATTAATAGAAACATCTTTACAAACAGCTGGGATCGTCATATATCGTCATATAATAATTATCAATGGTTAGGCAAATCCTTTTTAAAAGTATAAAGTTACAACGATTTAACACAAATTTTGAAGAATCCACAAAATAATTATAATAAATAGAATTATAATCTAACACAGAATATGTAGCTACAGATAATTGTTACAATAGATAAATAATAAAAATAAAATATTAATAGAGCGTTAAAGAAATATTATCCTCTTTAATTATAACAATTTCTAAAATGAATGAAAAATGTTTATATATATTTTGCGAGAAGGATTTTTATTTTACAACAAGTATGTTTTATGTATACATCGAATCCTCTGTTTGTGTTTATAAATAGCTTCCAAGAATAGACTAATTTATAATAAAATTGAACAGTGGACTAGTATGTTAGGTCCGGCATAAAAACATATGTGTGTTAACTTCTCTTCCTATAATATTCGCGTATAATAAGTAAGAAGAACAGGAAAAAAACGGAACAACATAACTTGTAACAAATATTTACTTAATATTTAATATTTAAATATTTTATTATTATTTAAATATTTTAATATTTACTTTACTTAACTGCAATACGCACATGATAATACATTTAACACAGAGGACGTAGCGAGGTAACGTCGTCGTCGCGTACACATTCGACGGTCGCCGTTACTACTAAAACCACCCATATTTTAGGCCTTAGTTACCATTGATAGTAACAGTGTGACCATATGGTTAACAAGTGGAACAGAGCAAAACCATAGTCAATAGCGTGGGCTACTCTTTAGCGGACTTTTTTTTATATAGCACATATCTATCAGTACGTTTGAACACAATTTTAACCATCTGTGAATTGGATGCATAATTTTTTTCATCACGCGTCATCAATGGCGGCGTGAATCGTATTTTTTAATGAAATAGTCACGTGCATCGAGTACTCGCTTCAAGTCAAAGTTTTAGATTCAGATTAAATATTACAATTTACGGGTTCAAACAAAATTATATATACGAACATTTTATTTCAAGTCTGTAAATTATGTACAAAACTTTCCTGCCACACAACACTATCTACCGTCTCCGTTTTAGTAATGAAGTATCTGCTCCGATAGAATTTACTTTGCGCCGCCATTGCGACTAAGTGTTTGAAACTGAACAAAAGCAACAATATGTATAAAACTATAGTTTTATAGTTTTATAATAATTATCTTAACTACACAAGACACAACGTTTATATTATGTAAAATATATTTCAAGTATTTATTTGTTTTTTAACTAATGAAAAATCAATATATCTAAAATAGCGAACATATATTTTTTTATTATTATTACGTACGTAATGCTGTTATAAATCGACATTTAATTTGTTTAATTACCTTTACCTAATAATTCTATAATTAATGATAAGTTGTCTAGAATATAAAAAAAAATTTTTAGAATTAAAAGTTCAAAAATTTAGTACGATATTGTTTATTGTAGATTTCTAATTAGTAAGTTCACGACTTTCGTATTTTTGGTTTCCTATTAAAATAACTTAACATCATCGTCAAAAAATAGATCTATTATTTTCAATAAATTCTGTGCTATATTTAGGATACAACCAATAAAAATAGAATTGTTTACATCGTATTTTTTTTCATTCTAATAACACCAACAAATTTATACCATTTATTGCACAACTCCTGTATCTGAATTTCGAGTATCTTTTATCTAGGTTACTTATTACAAGTTGGCCAGGAATGAATAGTAATAGTACTACCATCTTCTTTACCGTGTTGCTGAAGATACAAATAATTTCAGCATTTAGTAATTGAGGTGCGTAGAAGTGAAATTCAGTGATTTGAAATTAATTAACGTATTGAGATAAACAATTATCCGCTCATTAGATTACGAGGCAACTTTTCTGACTATGAAGTGTATAAACATTATGTTTATAAGTAAAAACCTGTAAACATTTATGGTTGCCAACGAAATGAGTCATTGATGCACATGTAGTTACGTAACATTCGTATTTTCTTACGGATTGATTCAAGTGTAACAATTTACGAGACTATGTTAAGGGTAGATAGTACAGGGCAGATTTACAGTTTTTAAGTAGTTATTTTAGATGTCCTCTCAAATATTTATAGCGAAAAATGTCTGTGCCACGAATGGTGTCAACAATTTTAGCAGTAACGAATAGTTATACAAGTGTTAAACGTTGGAGTTGTAATTCAATATGATCATTTTACAGTCTGCTTATTGTTTCGTTAGACGTTACAATAACACTACAACGTACACACGGTTTGTGAAACACGTTTTTGTATCATCGATACACATCATAGGCGTGTACAGACTACTTTTTTTTGGGTATGCAAAAGGCCGCTACTGCCTCCCCCTACTACTGAAAGTTATTTTAAGCGTTCAAAATCTTGGTAAAATATATTCACATAAATGTTTAATTAACTGTTTATTTCCAAATTTAAATTTTTTCCTTAAAAAAAAGTGATTGAATAGCCATATCTTTATTATTATAACTGTCTTTTTAATTAGGTAAAATTCAAAATAAACAATGAAAAAGAAAAATTAAATACACAGCACTTGAAATGGTTCGAGTAACTTATTTAAATAGTGTAAACAAACAAAAGCATATCAAATTCATATAATTCAATGAAAAACAAAATAAATTTGAAAAATAATTTTAATTGATGATAACAAAATGTTGAGTTTTTGAAATCTGTATAGCCATTTCCTGCTCTGTAGTTAAAAGCATTAATAATATAATCTATTTGAACTCTATTGAAGTAGTATTTCATTATTATAATGATATATGATTCGTGTTTCAAAAATAAATAAATATACCTGGGATTGAATACAAAAATATAATACAAAATCATATAATATAAATTTAAAGACCAAATATGTTACGCTTTGGATTTATTTTTGGTATTTTTAGAAATCAGGCTCTGTGCATGTATATTACGATATTCGGTCGGTTAAATTATTCAAATGCAATTTGTTATTACTCACGATAATATGTGGTTCACACACGTTTGAAGCTCGGTCCGTACGCTTCGATCCCGAAGGAGAACACTGAGCTTAGACGACGAATAGATATAGCGTTTGACACGGTGCGACCAACCTCACATTAGGCCGTTCAGGGAACACAGGTCCGAGGACGGGTACCCGGTACGATACTGATTGGACTGCACAACCGTCGAATTCGCTTTATGTTACGCGATCGCGTCGACACCATAAATACTGCAACACGTTATGTAACAGTACGGCCCGGGTGGAATCAAGGTTGAGTACCTGTTGTCGCGTACCCACGAACGTTATTTATGCATAACGATCCGACGATGATGACGTCCAGGACGTCGTCGGAGAATTTTTCCTCGTGAGATTCTCCTCGATTCCCTGGTCCCGGAGCGTCGCCGTCACTCGTACCGACGAGCCAATAGTAATCTATCAACGTTCGGCGAGCGCGCGCAGGCCGTCGTCGCACGTTCGTCGGGTGCGCACCGGTCGAGCACGTATCGAGATCAAACGAACGCAAACATTGAAAATTCAAAACGTACTCGTACGAAACGCGCGCGCGTCAAATTCACGTCAACACGCGCGCAGCAGCGGCGGCGCGACAGCTTTGCGACACTGCAAGTGCCGGAAGACGGACAAAACCGGACGCGTATCCTCGACGGGAGACGCTACGCGCGCCAATACGCGGTCGACGGACGCGCGGAAAGTTGAGAGCGGAAAGGGAAACGATGTGAAACGCGCGTCGGACCAGACGCGAGCGACGGGCAAGGGGAGCGCGGTCGGGAAACGAGAAAACGAGAAAAAAATCGCGCGGCCGAACGCGGTGCCGCCACACGCGATGCGTTCGTCGTGGAAAACAAGCGGTGCGCGGTGCGAGCGGTGTATTTTCGGTATTTTCGAACGGCGTACCCGATGGCGCGCACACACGTTGCCAGAGGTTGCGCAATAGCGCGCAACGCGCTAGTCTGGACGGCGACTCGGCCGCCCCTTCTCACGCGACCGGGCCTACCGCGGGTCACGCGAACGGATGACATCACTCGACGCAATAATACCGGCCCGGGCCGGCCGGGCGGGGGTAATCGGCGTTCCTCGGACGACGCGCGGCGACACGGCCGAAACGTTTGTTTGCCGTTCGGTATTATTTTCGTTCGGCACATCTTTCCGGCCGATCTTGGAACGCGCGACCCGCGGAACAGCACCGATGGCCGCCGACCGACCGTCGCGCGCCCGACCGACCACCCCGTTCGTTTCCGACCCGCAACCGTCCCCGCCGCCGTTCGGTTAAAAAAAAAAAAAAAAAAACGATCCGGCGAAGACTTCAACGGCAGTCGTCGCCTCGTGCACTGCGCAGCGGTTGTGCGAACGCGTCCCGGTCGTGCCGCCGTCGGTCCGCTGAAAACGAGAAATATCCCAGTCCTGCGCCTCAGGAAAAATCACCTGCGCCGATACCCGCGATACCAATCCACCGCATGAAACACCGGTTGCCGTTTCGTGATACCCGCAGGTAATTCGACTTTTATTTTATTTTTTTTTTTTATCACCGCACGACATTACTACTACGCAGTAGAAATCGGCTTTCCGACTCCGTGTTGTTTTTCCGCTACGATCATGCGTTATTATTGTTTATGTTTATTTTTATTCACGCGGTGGCGATGCCAGTCACCAACGGCGGTTATGGTGCGATCCCGCGCCGTGGGATCGGCGCTGCGCGTCCTTTCCCGATGTGTGATTGTCCGTATCCGTGTGATACGCGACCGAAAAGAACGGTGGCGCGGCGTGCAGGCGAATCGCACTGGTATACGTGGGTGGTTAGCGATAAGAAAGTCGTGGGCCGTAAATCATAATCGAAAATATGTAAGAGCCGAAACCAATAATACTTCTAATACTTCGAGTTAAACATTGAGATAAAAAGAATACGTTATTATCGTACTGGGTATATGTTTTTTAAATTTGTGTTGGTAAAAATTGTCGGACGACTTCGAACGAGCTGAAATTTGACCACCTTTTTTGTAATATTTTTATTTTCCTCTGGAGGGGTATCGTGAAACAATGGTGAGACATGCGTGTTTGGGTATCTAATTGCCGATAAACCGACTAGATGATAACAAGTAGAAACCACAACACGAAAAGTCGGTTAAACATTGAGTTATATAAGTGTTTGTCTTTCGTCGTATGATTCATAATAACTGTGTAAATTTCAAAACGACGATGAAAACGCCTCTCAGCCAAGGTCGGTGTAATAATACAGGGGTTTCTAAACTTCGGTTCGCGGATAAGTTTTAACTGGCCCTCAAAAAATAGTGCGCTGTATGTATTATATAACAAGTCTCGAAATAAAAATTAGCTACTCATTTTAAACTATTTATTTATTTTTTTTTTTTTGTAAATTATTTTTGAATTTTTGTTTTATTTTTGTAGATGTATATTATTCATGAAAAATGCATGGAGTATAAATTATGACTAGTTATAATATTTCGGGTGTCTGGTTCACGAATGGAAACATTTTTTTGTTGCAATTTTGGTTTAAAAATTAGTAAAACTATTTAATTTCCGAGGCACCTAGGGTTTAAAAAAAAAAAAAAAAAACGATCTATGTTTAAATATCTACATAATTCGGTAGATTCTATTTTTGACGTATTAAACATTAAAGCCGGTTCCATAATACGGTAGATATTCTGTTTAAATCTTCTTAAAAAACATTTACATACGCTTGATGGTCGCCGCACCGTATTTATCGCGATTGCTCCATTAACGATAGCGATGACGGATAACAGAGACTGACGGTTAATCGAGTTTCTACTGTACATACATAATTGTATATGTATATTAAATCATAAAATATTTTGACTAAAATAACAAATATTATATTTTGAATAAGAATATTTCTAAAAACTCCAATATTGATTTTCATTTCATAATAGTATGTCAGTATTAACTGTTAACTTTATGATAAAAAATGAAAATGTTAGAAATATATTGCGTGAATTGGGTAAATATAATTATGAGATATTATAATTTATAATGTTTATTTTTTTCAAAAATAAACGTTCATAAGTTCTTAAAAATAATGAAGTACTTATTCATTATTGTTACAAGTTATAAGTGCCTGAAAATGTTTTAATATAAGTTTAATTTTTGATAAGATGAATTACATATATTTTGTCATGAAAATAGGTAACGTGAAATTGATCATTACCTAGACACCTGCAGACGTACAAATGTTGTATTAGAATATTAAGATAATGATAAAATAAATTTTTAATATTTAAGTTCACTAGACTTATTCGATAATACTCGTATTTCTTCAGAGATTGAAATTTAGCTGTTTTCAATTAAAACCGTACATGTATTAAATATATTATGTAGATTATTAACAGTTAAATATTAAAACTATGTTAAAGAATTATTAGACATGGCAATCAAGGTCATTATTATTGGATCTGGAGTTGGTGGTACTGCTGCAGCTGCTAGACTTAGCAAAAAAGGATTTGAAGTCGAAGTTTATGAGAAAAATTCGTATAATGGTGGGAGATGTTCATTAATTCATCACAATGGATATAGATTTGATCAAGGTCCATCATTGTACCTTATGCCTAAAATATTCGAAGAAACATTTGAAGACTTAGGGGAGAATATAAAAGACCATATAGAATTGCTTCAATGTAAATCTAATTACAAAATTAATTTTCACGATGGGTTACAATTTGAGCATTCGTGTGATTTATCTAAATTAAAACGATCCTTGGAGAGATTTGAGGGCAATAGCGAAGATACTCTATTAAGATTTTTTGATTTTATGAAAGAATCTCACATACATTATGAAACAAGTTTAGGCTTTGCAATGAGAACCGATTTTCAAAATTGGTACGATTTGTTGAATATCAAACATATTCCAACTTTATTGAAGTTGCATTTACACAATTCTGTTTACACGAGAGCATGTAAATATTTCAAAAGTGATTATATGAGAAGAGCTTTCACGTTCCAAAGTATGTACATGGGGTAAGTTATAACTTCAATACATATTTATATGTATATGGCGCACAAGTAATAATTCTGATATAAAATTGATTCTCATAGGATGTCACCGTACCACGGGGTTGGCGCATACAACTTGTTACAGTACACAGAAATAGCAGAAGGAATTTGGTATCCAAAAGGTGGTTTTAACAAGGTTTTGCAAAGTCTTGAAAACATTGCTGTGAAACATGGGGCCAAATTTAATTACAACAGTGATGTTCAAGAAATAATAATTGACAACGAAGGGGCTGCCAAAGGCATCAAATTGCGCAATGGTGATGTGATAAACAGTGATATTGTAATTTGTAATGCTGATACTGTTTACGCTTACAACCATCTTTTACCGAAAACATCTTACGCTGAAAAACTCGGCAAGAAAAAACTCACTTCGTCATCAATATCGTTTTACTGGTCTATGAATCAGATCATACCTCAAATGTCCGTGCACAACATATTTTTAAGCAGCGAGTTCAAATCAAGTTTTGATCAAATTTTCGATGACCATACGTTACCGGACGATCCATCATTTTATGTAAACGTGCCCAGTCGTATCGACCCGACAGCAGCACCGGAAGGCAAAGATACGTTCGTGATATTAGTACCAGTGGGACATATATCTGATAGACCTAATATTGATTTTGATCAACTTGTAAAAACGGCTAGGGAACACGTGATCGCTACTATTGAGAAAAGTTTAAAGATATCCAACTTCAGGGGTATGATTGATCACGAGATTGTAAATGATCCAAGATCATGGCAAAACGAATTTAATCTGTGGAAAGGATCGGTTTTAGGATTATCTCACACATTTTTTCAAGTTATATACTTTAGACCGAGTTTAAAGTGCAAGATATTTAAAAATTTATATTTTGTCGGCGCTTCGGTGCAACCCGGTACTGGTGTACCTGTAGTTTTATGTGGTGCAAAATTATTAGAGAAACAAATCTGTGATAGGTTTTTGACAAACAAAAAAGTGAAATCAAATTCGTGGTCAACATTAATAATATTTTTAATCGGCCTATTATCAATTTTATTATTTTGGTTGTCTTGAAATATTAATAAATGATATATTATTTTAGAAATGTTTTTTTTTTAAATTTTTAAATTTATAATTATTTTAATTTTTATAACAATAATTGCAATAACTATTTTGAAGCATTTTTGTAATTCAATAATTAAAATTAATCAAAGTTCCACAATTATATATTTGTTTATAATTTGTATGGAGTATAAAAACATATATATATATGTGTGTGTGTGTGTGTGTGTGTGTATGTATATGTGTTATACTTGGATCAAATCTAAAATATACATGCATGTAAAACTACAGGGTATATTATATCAGTATACTTTAAATTAATCAAATTAGACGTAATTTTTAAAAGCTTGCATCAACTAATTATTTATTATAGATATTTTTTCAATAAAATATTATTTTTGGAAGTATGACTCATTTATTAGTTTTTATAAAAAAATTTTAATTCTTCTGTAATCCATAATATGGGTAGTAAAAGTTTATTGAAAGTTTTATGCATTATTTCATTTAAAAGCAAGTTTGGAACTTGTTGACTGTAGCTTGAGCTAATATGCAACTTTGTTAATATAAAAATATTGAAATAAAATATTTACATGTAATAATGAATTAAAACGTTAAAATATGTAAAAATAGTTCGAATTTCAACTGCAATTAATTAATTCAGAATACATACATTCACTTATGCGAAAAACAAAACCAATCGTAGTGTAGCTATCATAGGATAAAGCGGGACAGTGCCCCGGGGCTCTAGAGCACAGGGAGCACCTTAAACATTTCTGAAACTAAACTTTCCTAAAATAATTAACAACGTTGATGGTATTTAATAATAAGTTTCCAAATCGTATGTCGTGGTTCCAGCAGTATCAACATTAAAGTAGAATAATAATACATGCAATATTTGTTTGTTTTTTATAATAGGTACTTAATAAAGTGAATTTTCTTTTTACTCTATACATCTGTTAATTATCTAGCAATTAATTTTATTTATAATTTCGTAATAAATAAGTATTCACATTAAAAAAAAAAAAACAATATAATGTGTATACCTTGAATTTTCATGTAAAGATAATATCACTTAGGGAGTCTAGTTTACATACGGCACCGGGGTCCTTTTCTGTGTAGCTACGCCACTGAAAACCAAATTAACGACATCTGTTGTTTTTCAAACGTAGTCAGATAAAAAAATAATCCTTGTCTTATAAATAGAAGAATATAAAAATACATATTCATCAATCTCATATTTTTTAAATTATCACCATATATTTAATAAAAAAATTATTGTTCAAAATGTATGAACATCTATCTAATGGTTTATAATAAATAAATAATGATTAATAAAAGGAACCATATTATATACCAATAATTTAATGATATATGACTGCAGGTAAGAAATAATTTGATCTATTTCATATATCTTTTAAATTTTTTTAAAAAGGAGAATGCAATAGTTTAATTTTGTATATTAATTAATACTTTTTAAAGTTCAGTAACTACAAAAATTTGGAAAAATTTAGAATATTTAGAATATAACCTTTAATACAAATATCACATGATTTCAAAATTAATGATTGCCTTAATTTTGCTTATAAAAATTATTGTTGAAATAAAAACGACGACAATTTATTTGAATTTAAATAAATATACAGTGTTTAAAAAAAATTCAAATAATTCTTATACTATAACAATAATATTTGTTACAATTACCTAAATCTAAGTTATACGAGTAGTTTAACTACAGATATGCTTTTAAATATTCTAATATAGCATATTCGATTTAAATGATTTAATATATAAACTATTAAGTAATATTAAATATTTTTTCCATTTTGATACCGAAGCTTTAGTTGGATAAGTTGAACTTGATTGGAAGACTGAAATATGTTCCAGATAAATATCATAAAAAGCTATCACTCCACTTCGTACATCATGTGACAACCAATTGAATAGATCCAAAGTTTCCGGTTGGTATTTGTAGTACAATTGAATTAACCTCGAAGAGTATTTCCTTATCTTATTTTCACCCAGAGATCTAGCGTCTTTTTTATCGCATAGTACCTTCAGTTCAATCTCTTCATCGTCCAAAAATGAAGTCGGTATATAGGTTCGACCTACCGTAACGCTATCGTAGATGATATCACGGGCAATATTCACGAGTTGTAAATCCTTAAATATTAAGATAGTTTCGTATTATGAAGATGTTAAAAAAAAAACTGTCGGAAAATATTACTTACTCGTGCTAATTGCTGTGATTTTTCAACGATATTATCGTGTTTTTCGATAATATTATTCATCCCGTCATCAGATCTATATATGAACAAAAAAATACTTGTTAGGCCAAAATTGCCGGCCACATAGTTACAATATTCCATTAAATCTTTTTCATTTCGAATCAACCTACGTTCAACATCCCATTTAAAACCTTCTAGGAGATCGTAAAATGGCTTACGAGGTAAATAGAACGCTATTCTAGAGAGTGCACGGCAACATGACATTTGAACATCGGAAAATTGTGATTGGTACAGTGGCCAATTGATTTTTGGTATGTATGGTTTTCTTTTAATATCGTAATCCGATTTTCTGCCTGCAAATAGTTCATCAAGAAACTGTATGAACAGCTTCAATTTTGGTTTCTTTTCTTCAATGTGTAATGATTTATCATCGATCATATCATCTGTTATTCGAGCAAATGTGTAAGCAATCAATAAATCCATTCGGATTCCTGAATTAAATACATTTAGCATTAAATAAATAGTTTGTAATATTTATATACAGTTTAAATTTACTCTTATTTTAATAAATAATAAATCAGGACCAGATTATCAGGCATTAAACTAATAATAAGTTATCAATCATAATAATTTGATTGAACTCCTATCATTGAAATATACTCGTATTAATGATAAAGTTAATATATTTCGCGTTGTATTAGGTCGTGTTTCTCACTAAAAGCAACTGATGACGGCAACGCGATTGAGATTCGAGTTTAGTTGTAGTTGAGTTGCCCAGTTGTTCTCATCTAAAAATTTAATATGAAATTTCAATGCAACTTCAATGCATATTCAGTTATCAAAATAACTTCATCCGATGAGGATATGGTTGTAGCATTTATGTATTTGAGGTATTAATTAATTAATTAAAAGTTTTTGATTTTTTGACAACATTTTACTTAGTAGAAAATGCCATTTTAAATAAATTATTAACAAAATATAAAATTGAATAAATTGATAATAAACCAGAGTAGGTAATAATCAAATAATTAAAAATATTCACAAAATCGATGACAAAATCGAACTATTCACACTAGCAACCAGACAAAGAGATTGACACGTCGAGTTGCTCAAAAATAGTTTTCAAAAAATTGAGTTGTTTTTCAGTCCTGTTGCGACCTGTGAGAACACGTCAATTTAATAATACATGTCGCGTTGCGTCGCGATTGCGTTGCCGTCATCAGTTGCTTTTGGTGAGAACACGGCCTTATAGTTCAAATGTCGTATTTAGAACATGCAATTATAATTCTACTAATTAAACTGAATGTAATGAAATAAAATATCACTGATAAATGTTAAGATATATATATTATCTCATTTATAGATAAATTTTAAGTTTTTATCATTTTTATATTTATATAAGAAGTATAACATGTTTTTTTTTTTTTTTTTTTAAATAGCAACTTCTATTTTGAACACTATATTTAAATTGACCTATTTTTTTAAAGTAATTATGATGTATTAACTATGGTTCTAAAACCAATGTTGACTGAATAAAAGCCATTTCAATTTTAAAAATAATACATTTTTACGATTCATTGAAATGCATAGAACTATCAATAATTGTTTATTATTGGTTCTTTTTTAATATTTTTATGTATTTTTTTTATACATATTATAAACAAGATTAAGATACTAACAATAAACTAAAAATCAAAAAAATGTGTAAATGATTTTAATTTATGGTAGATACAATAGAAATGTTCGTCAGTCAGCAGAAATGTATGCTGAGCAATATCTAGGTCGGTATATGCACCATACATACTTTTTATTAAAGGAGAAAAATTATTGATTTACCATGGAGCATATTCTGCAAAAGTAGTTCGTAGTAACTACCCCGAGTGAAAAGTATTAAGGAAGATGTGAAACTTCAAGTTTTAGCTTACATTAGATTGAATCCACGATCTTTGATTAGATAGTTGTAATCAATTTTAATAAATAAATTTATATTCATATTATATTAATCTTATTTACAATACGTATAAAAAAATAAAAAACATAAAATTAACCAATAATAAATAATTATAAATAGTTTTTTGCATTTTAATGAATCCTAAAAATGTATAATTTATTAAAATTGAAATGACTCTTATTCAGTCAATTTTTGATTTAGAACCATTGTTGATACATTAAATTTACCTTAAAAGATTAGGCCTATTCGTATAAATTGTACAAAATAGGCGTTGATGTATAAAAAAAAAATTTTTACTGTGCAAGTGCGTACGGAAATAATAAACATTTTGAAATGTATCTATAAATGTGTAGGTATTATGTTTGGAATGGGCATGAAATTCGAATATCCGAATTATCTGGATACCTGGATTTGAATCAAATTCTTATCCGGATTTATGAATTTGCTTTTTATATAATTATAATATAATTATTTTTAATTTCTAGTAAAATAAATTATTTTATTTTATTGTAACAACAAATTAAATTATACTTTAAGAATTTAAATTTAGTTATCATGATTTCAACAGTTTTTATAATGCATTATTGTTGTATTATATGTTACTAAAATTACAATTTATTAAATTGTTGAGTTTGTTTTATACCTCAATGACTTACAGTGATATCATGACTGAACACCCAATTACCTTATCTTAACTGCTTAACCTTTGAATGGTTATTGAATTAAATTTTCTGAAGATAAGTTGAATTTATAATACAATAAATTATAAGAATGATACAATAATAATTGTTATCAATGTAATTATTTACACTGACAAGTTTTCTTATAATTATCAAATAAAAATTATCCTTAAGTATTAAAAAGCATCATGTGGAGATATATTGTAGGAAAAGCAGTGGCGTATATAGGTATTAATTTCGGAGGGGGCCGTTTATGTCTCTCTCATTCTAATTGATAAATATAAATAAATACATTCAATTTTGCAATCGAATTAAAATTGCCTGACTAAAACATATTAAATATGTATATCTATGTAAATTAACATTTTAAATTTTAAACTTTTACCTTTGTTTTTAAAACGCATAGGAGTATTTGAACGTCGCTAAGAATCGTTTGACAACTATAACGGTTATAACAATTTATTTTTAATTGCAGGAATAAGATTAAAGTTATGTAATCACAGAATAAATTAAATCAGACTGGAAATTTATAAGGAAATACACGGGATATTATTGCTATCCAAAAATATGGTTCGACATATTGAAAATGTTCATCAGTATAGACCTAAAATTTAAAATTAAATATTTTAAATACAATAAATATATTTATATACAATAATTATTAATTGTATTTTACATTATATTATATCAATGATTTTTAATGAAAAGGATTTTACTTTTCAACATTTTTCAAAAACATCATATTTAATATAATACTAACTTAACTTGTTCATTCAAATAATTAGTAAGTAAAAAGTTGTTCTGAAACCAAAATGAATGTTGTTGAAAAGAAATATGCATACATTCCTACTAACAAATATTATTAATAATAACAAGAACAAATATAAGATAAAAGACTGGTCTCAATGTTTTTTATGATAAATTTTATGATGACAAAAGTAATATCCTGATAAAGGAATATGATTCTCTAAACACTTTTTGTCATATAACCACACACATATGTAAATTTATTTTTCTCAGTTAGATCTAAATTTCTATAATCATGATTAATTAACAAACATTTTATTAACAGTGTATCTAAATAATACTGAAATAAAATAATAATTTTTTTTTCTATCTGAGAAACCTGTCGAGCCTTTTCGAGATGGTGAACCAACATTTAGGTGGTTATAAGTTTCAATTCTGTTTTAATCTATTCTGTGATGTTAATAAAAATGTAAAACGCATTTTCTAAGTTCAGTATTCAATAGGAATTTTAAATGGTTATAATTAATCTATTTTATTTTCCGGCAATATTTAATAAGAAAATATTAACTAATGTATATCTTACCTGATGGAAAGACAATACTACAATAACGGATAACTTTTGAAGCGGAATTAACCAGTCTCATTAGCTTTGTTATGTCTTTTACCACTATCGAAGGCATTGAATATTCCGGGGTAATAAATGCACAAAATAATTGACTGGCAAACTTCAAATTAAAACCAAACCGTTCTGGAAATTCCATTGTAAATGTTTCCATCATACCACGAGCTTTATCGTATGAAAGTATTGCCAAAACAATGATCATATTTGTTATAAAGAAGTACAACAATTCTTCTAATGGCAAGTCTTCGG